GAGGAGGAGGAGGATAGTACCCAGCAGGAGGGGGTGGGGCAATTCCACGTGAGGCAGAGGTGTAGCTGCCCTCGCGAGAGGAGTAACTGCGGTGATGCGAGCTGCGGCTACTCAGGAAGTATGGATCGGTCGGCAGTGGAGGAGGCGGAGGTGGCATGGTGGCCTCTGCGCGCAGGGTGCTGACAGAGCGATGGCTGCGGCCAAAGTAACTGCCATCACGCTCGGGAGGCAGGTCGTACGTGTAGGTGCGTTGCACGGGGGGAGGGTAACGCGAGCTGCGCAGGCTTACATAGCTGCGATGCTCGAGCTCCGGAGGGTACGGCTCCCTTTGGGCAGCAGCCTCACTGCGTGTGCGAGAATGACGCGATCGGGATGAGGAGTGACGGCCCCGGCGGTATTCGTCGTAGAGATCATCATCATCTCTGGGAGACCGTGAGGAGCCGACCTGGCTGTAGCGAGCCATGACCTCGGGGAGCGGCCGACGGAAGTTGGCAAGAGCAGCATAGTCGCCAGGATGCCGAACCTTTTCAATGCTGCGCTCGACTTCGATCACTCGCTCTTCACGATCATCATCGTGGTAGTCCGCGTACGGAGAGCGCGGGGAATAGGCAGGAGCATCCTCATCATAGTCGTACTCGTGGCGGGAAGACCGCCTACGAGAGCTCTTGCTCATGCGATAAGAACCTTCCAGTTCTTCCTCGTCCTCTCGGGCAGACGTGGCAGGATCGTAGATAGAGGAGCGACGCTTCAAACTCCGTTTGCGGCTGAGTCGTCTGTCGTCACGTTCGTCTTCCGGATGTCTGACTGAGTATGACCGTCGAGATCTGGTGCGAGGGGATTCAGTGGAATCTGAGTCCATATCGCGTTCTAAATCTGCTTTCCGCTCAGTGTCTGCAATTTCGTAGCTCCAATCCAGAATACGAGTCGCCTGCTCGTCGGTCACCTTTGTGCGGCGCAGAGTCGAGCCGTCGTAGTCGGGTGGATAGTCAGGTGGAGGTACATAGACAATCTGTGACATGTTGCCATCGAAGTCAAAAATCTCCAGACAAACTGCACCAACACGTGTAGGGTACCGGCGGACAGAAGGGGCACCGGGGGCCGTGTAACCTTCCGGTAAATGGCGCTCGTATGCTGCCCAGGCGTCTGCAGTCACCTGTACTGCACGCTCGTAAGTCTGGTCGATTGCTGTGGCCGAGGGACAGCCCAAGACAATTCGGCCTCTTTTCAATGGACGTTCTCTGGTGGGAAAGACCTGGATGATCTTGAAATAGGGCGGTGCGCGAGGCGAGATGCCAAACGAGATTGCGGGGTAGTTACCGTCCTCGGTGGTGTGGTAATGGAGTCCAAGCGGTTGTATGATAGCGGAATAAAATGACGAGGCGGAAGGGAGGTGTGAGACCTCTAAGTAGGGCGCCATTTGGATGTTATAGTTGAACCGAGGTGTGCCGTGTAGCGGCAGCGACCTCGAGAGGCACAATGAGAGGTAAAGCGTGCGTTTCACCACGGAAGCAGGCCTCTGGACACTCGGAGCCTGATCGTATCTCAAAGTGAAAGCCCGAAAAGGTGAGGAGCAAGAGCTGGAGGCTCGATAATGGTCAGTTGTGGCCGCCGAGGACGTTTGTCAGGGCTGGGTGTGCGCTGTGGCGTGACGGGGCGAGCCGTTCAAGGGCTATGATTTGTGACGGGATATCCAAGAAAAATCCAAGCAAATCCCTCGCAAGCGACACGCCACGGGGCTGAGCAGCTTGGGGTGCTTGAGCGTGGAGGTAGCTTGGAGGGGGCTTTGAAGAGCCTAGCAAATCTGAGGCGATCTTTGATGGGCGCTGGTCGCTGCGTGACAGCAGGCTGCGTCTTGCTGCGTCCTGTTGTGCACGGCTGCTTTCTGCAGGAGGCTGCACGCTGCGAGTAGCTGCAAAGCAGCTAAGGGGTGAACGGTCAGAGTAATCTGATCAGCACGGACGTAGGTAGGTGAGTTGGCAAGTAATCCGTAGACCGCTCGACGCGCGAAGGTCGACGGTCAACCGTTGTCTGGCTTCCAGGTTGTCTCTGTGGTTTACCCTGGCTGACCGCTCTCAACTTCACACGCGGCAGACTACTGAGCGACAATGCTTTGCCCTAATGCTTGGTGCTTTGGAAGCGGGGGGTCTATGAGATGGAGGAGTGGAAACTAGGGACGTGGGAAACTGGATGAAAAAATGGTGTCGCAGAGGAAGGGTCTCGGATCGTCCAGAACCAGTCAACGCTGGGCCAGACTGCAATGGCCTGGGGCAGAAACCAAGAGATCGCACACTAGCCAGCAAGCAGACCAGCAAGCAGTATAGAGTGAAACGTGCGACGCTTGCCTGCATATGCGAGCACATGCTGGGCAAAAAAGGTTCGATGGTGCCCAACGGGGCCAGCGGGCTGAAAGGGACGGCGGGCTGATCCAACCCTGAGCCCCGCAGCGATTGATGCATGTCGACCAAACAGATCACCTCCAGGAGAAACCAAGCGCAAAATGGCCGTCATATGTGGCCAGCATCGTTTTCTCTCAGCCACAGGTCACCAGCAGCCGAGGGCCAGAGCCGGGCAAATATGTTGTCATTGCCGAAGGCTCTGGAGGTGGCCGGCTAGCGGTTTACCTCCAATTTCCGGGAATCCATGGAAATCTAGGGATCCAAACATCCAGACAAATTGCTGATGTCTCTCACGATGAACCCGCATGTGCGGATGCGCATTCCGAAGACAGCCCGCAAGCGCGGAAAAGATTGGACTTGGGTGTGTGCCAGCCAGTGAAGCGAACGACGAGCCACTCCCGTCAGCGCTAATCAGTACGCATAACTCTCTGCACCACGCCCCATCCGAACATTGAAGACTCGTGGCAGATGCCGCTTGCACCGTTTCAGCCATCCCTGCTTCGTTAGGATTTTGCTCGATTGGGCCCGGAGCCGCTCTGCTGCCCTTTGAGACAGCTCATCCGGACTTTCTTGGACTCCTCTGGGCTCCCTCCTGGAACTTAGAAGCAGCCCAGTAGGTCAAAAGCCAAGACTCCCTGTTCCCCTCCCTTCTTGCTTCGATCGGAGTCTTGGCAGACCCATCCATATGACCCACCGGAATCACGTGTCCTCATCACCAAACTTGCTTTTGCTTCATTCCATACTCCAGGTATTCACGACGGCTATTGATCCATGTGAGCAGGGCAGAACCGGATTTCGCGTGGGGGATTATGAGCTTGGAATCGCTTGGTAACGACAATGCCGTCCCTCCACCATTTGCACTGATTCCTTGTTGCTGTTTTGAGTCCTGTTTGTGACCGTCGCACCACGGTTCGAGTCCTGCCCAACACTACCAACCGACATCTGTGTACCCGTCGGCAGTACAATCATGACTATGTTCTGACCAGGGGATATGCAACAAAGCAGAAAACCCAGCAACAACACGCGATTCATCATACCAAATTCTATTTGGGAGAAGTGGTACCCGACTGCCTTCTTAGTCACCATCTTTCATGCCTGACAACGATTGTGGCCCAGAGTTGAGCGTATCACCTTCGTCATCTTAACCATCCAACCCAACCACATCCTGGCCCATAACCCAGTCCTTTATATGAGCCACCTCTCAACCCAACTGACATTTTCGACCTTTATTGTTGGCAGGTCAATTAAGGCCGTTGGTTTGGTTTAGTATACACACCGGCAAGGTAGAAGACAGGTGAGAAGAAAACACCAGTCGAGGTACAACAAGGAAAAGGGGGAAGACGCGGGCCAAGTTGAAGTAGCGCCGCGCAGACGACGAAAGCGTCTTGGGATCCGTTGTTGAATGCCCCATGTTTTGGTTGCAAAAACACCGACAGCTCAAGCACAGAGGTCCCAAGTTCCGGAAGTCACCGGGTGTTAGCCGCGATGTTGTATCGCGGAACAGGCCCAGTGCTCCCGCAGCACCCTACGTGAGAAAAGGCGAGAGGCTGGCGATCTTTCCATCCAACCCCCATTTCCCTGTCAACAGTGGTAGCCGGCAACCCCCGGGCACCTGGCCCGGTAGGCAGCAGACCGGACGGATGTTACCTATGGTTCACAAAGCAGATCGTCGTCGTCATCGTAACAATGACCGAGCGTGACTTCGTGGTCCGGTTTAGATGATATCCCAGGCATCTTCGCATGCATGACAGAACTTGCTGCATGCAACACTTGCCGACAAACTGTAGTTGCTGATCGAGATCTTCTCATCCACGTAAGCGTCCGCGAAATTGTCGGGGCCCTTAGCCATGGCACCAACGAAGACGCAAATGCTCTCATTTGGACCAAGGGTATCGACATAGTCGCGCACTCTCACAAGCGGAGCATCGAAGCTGAGGGTAACCTTTCTGCAGTTTGGGGGTAGGTGGTCGGTAATGGGATTCTGAATAACCTTGAGGAGCTTCTCGTTCGTGTTGGTGCCCTTAATCGAAAGGCGGTGGAGAAGCTGGACCATCAAACCAGCAAAACGCTTGAAAGTGCGAGGAATGCGGACGGTTGGCGAAACCTCGATGAGAACGCCCTTTGCCGTCTGAATGTAGATCTGGAGCTTGCCAGCCTTGTTGATGGGCGAATCAAGAAGTGTGAGGAGGCACTACGATGAACGAAAATAGTCGGACCGTCAGCGCTTTAGACCCTTGAAGGGGAATACGTTGGGTCCGGCAAACCTGATGGGTAATATCCGGCCGAGCATCGCTGATGTCGCGGTTCATCTTGCGCATGATACCGATGTGTTCGTCGCTATTAAGGAGCGTGTACTTCTCTTCCCGGACGCCATTGCGGTTGGTCCCGTGCGATGCCTTGTAAGTCTCGAGACTGGCATTGGAAAGAACGACAATGAGCCGCTTGGTGTCCTTGTCATTGGGGGGAATCGGGACGTGCTGCTCGGCGACAAGTTGAGGAAGCGCTGGAGGAGGAAGCGACTGGGTTCCTGCCGTTTGGGATTGCATGGTCAGAGAACGTTATCGAAGCAACGAGTATAGGTCCGATAGATGAGAGTTTTTATGCGTCTCCTCGTAGGAGGGAGCGATTGGCAAAAAAAAACATGGGAAACACGTTAAGAGATGGTGATGATTGGAAGACAAAATGTCCAGCAAGAATGTTGCTGGACACAGACTCGACTTTTGCCCAATGCGGGGCCCGCGCGTTTGCATGCCTGAAAAAGTTTCCCCTCAGCAGCCTTTCCACTCACATCCCACCGTCGTGGTGGTGGCGTGCTCAGAGGCATTTCACCGAACAGTGAAAGGATGAGATGAAATGCCAGGTTCCTAGATAACCAAGGCCAACAAGCAACCCAACGCTTCGCTTCATAGCCTCGTGCCTTTCGACTTTTTAAACAGACCCAGAAAACAGATCAACCAAGTGCAATTGGACTTACTTGGGCGCTTGCCAGCACGGTACTCAGGAGAGGAAGACATGCTCGAAGACTTGTCGTTTGTCTGCGAGAAGCCGATGTCAAAAACGATTTCTATATATGATAGAATCGAGATAAATATTATCGAGTACCAAGGATGGCCTCGTTCGCACCAATTGACCGAGAGGTATAAATGGTTTTGTGGGTTCGGTGAATGTTCGAAAGAATAGGAGGCGGCGCTTCTTTTGAAGAAAAAAAAAAGATGAAAAATTGACAGCAGACCGGCGCAGCACACCGACCGACAAGCAATTCTTGCAGAAGTTCTGACAGTTTGCCCCAGGTTGCGTTGTGCGGACCACTAAGTTCTCTTTTTTCTTGGCACGCGGGTCGATGGATCGATGAATTGATGCTTGGATCAATCGCCCGCCCCAAATTTTTTAGTGCATGTGAGAGGTCCAGTGGCCCCCCGCACACCAAACAGGACCCATTTTGAGATCCGAAACGGAGCCCCATAGTCTTTCGATCTCCGATCCACGCTCCGTTCCGGTTGTGGAACTGTGGGGGCCTTGGTCACCGAGAGTTGGAAACAGTTTCCGACCTGTCGGCGCCTCAAACCCGAGAGAAATATCTCACCGAAAATTGAGACCTCCGGATCGATCCAAGATATGCTGCAACACATACTGCTGCGAAGACACTGGAAATGTGTTGCTGGCAGCATAGATCCTCGCAGCCTCATCTTTAGTGACACCCACGCTCCTTTCCTATTGTGGCAGTTATCGCAAAAGATAGGGCTCCTTGAGAAGGCAACGTGCATCCGACCTTCGGACCATCCTTGACTACAGGAGAGCCCCTTGTTGTTGCATGGTGCTAAGATAACACCAGTCCCGTTCAACCTGCCCTAGTTCAGCCCGCTCTGCCTGTCCATCCAATGGGTACCGATACATAAATTGATTTTACTGTGTATCACTGAACACAGTTGGTCTCTTCATAGGTAAGCCAGCTTGTCAACATCTCCTAACAGTGGTGAGGTCAATAGCCTTGCACTTCAAAAGCCTAGGGGTTTGTCTTGGAAAAGTCGCATTTTGCATCTTCAGACTGCGATACTCGCCACACTTCCACCGAATCCAGAGCCCAGCTATGTTTTCTTATCCTGACAAAAGTCGAGGCGACTGAGACTTTCTAATAACCGTGCTTGACACTATCTGCGTTCACGCAGGCAACGTCCCGAGGCAGCATTTCCATTAAAGGATGCTGTTGGCCATGACCGTATGGCCAGGCTATTAACCTATATCTGACCATACTTGATGTTAAGCTCATTGTACAATATATTGGCGGCTGACGGGTCAAAACTGATAAATGTGGCGAAACCGAGCTATTGGTATTGGCAGATGCTGCTTTATGTTGATAAATGGTTGATGTTTGGACTGTCAATTCACTTCCTTGGTTATTAATGCTGTCTAGCAGAAGAGCTTACCAGAGCATAATACTGTGCCCTATCAATGGCTTGTATTCACCCAATCGGAGATACGCATTGTGTATTAGCCTTCATCGTTATGTGCTCAGGCGTGCGCATTACCTGTTCCAAATGCTTAGTAGGTAGCCGCCGATCTGGTGATATAGGTTGTATGTCGTTTCTATGTCGACCGGTCCTTCTCCCTATCATCTCTTGGTGCCTCCCCATGCATTTTGCTTCCTTTGCATATCTCTGGCGCATTTTTTTTCAAGAGCCATGGTGATAATTGTTTTGGTTTGAGGTGCCATTGTAGGCTAGTTCAGCCACTGTGCTTTTGCTCCCCACACAGGATGATAACGGACAAGATGTTCTATTTGTTTGCTGTCAATTATAGCTACCACCCAGGCATGGATTAGTGACCAAGACAAACCGGACTTGGTTTCAGCTGGCTTGTCCACTGATGAGATGTTCTGTTGACTGTGGTCCAACTCAGTCTCCGTCACCCGGACCCGATATCATTTGGTCAGCTCCACTGGGGGCCAAACAATCACGAATGGCTTCCATAGCACTAATGGTGGTGTTACGATAATGACAGGGAAGACTTCCTGACTCCTTAATTGTCAACTCTTGACCAAAGCCCAGAGGAACTGGGGATGACGTCAATTATTTCAAATAACCGACCGAATGGCGATAGCACAAGGTCATGGAATAATTTCGGTATTGCATCAGAGACATCGAAGTTAGGGATTTGGTATTTGGTAAGCTGATCGCCGCCTATTATGGCGCGCCGTAGCGGCTGAAGAATGGTATAATCATTGGAAACGCCTAGGTTATCAGACCTGTTAAGCCCAACTACGTTGTCTTCTTCAAAGGCATCAACTACAACGGCGACGGTAGAGGGGCCTCGGCTGCGAACCGCCGGCCTTTTTCCATAACTGTGTCCCAGGGATATGCTTAGTTTTCCTGCGTTCGGTTACTACTATTTAGAATGCAGATGCTAATATTCTTGCTGCCAGTGATGGAGGAAAGAGTTCTACAGCAGTGACCAAACTTGTTCAGCCGGGTCCAGTAATCCTGATCCTGATCGCATGGAGTGTGACAAGGACAACCACACTATTGTGGAATTGGTGAGACCAGAAACGGCGATAATCGAGGAAATGGAAGAAATACAGGCGGTTGTTATGGATTTAGACGGTTTTTGTCCAGACAAAGAGAACGGTAGAAGATGGGGTGATAACGTTCATGAGAACAACGCGGTTAGCAATGTCATCGGCTTTCTCCAACATCTGAAGCCCCACCCACAACAGACACAAGGAAAGAAAAGGGAACAGGCTATGGCGCCTGGGGAGGGGGGCCCAACAATACCTACACTCGCTGCTTTCCGGCAGTGAGGGAGATTGAAAGCATGTGGTTAAACTTCGAAGTGCTTGTCTTTTGGGATGTGGTGGTTTTAAAGACCGAAAGACTCCTTGTCTGTTCCAATATTTCGGGAGAGTTAATTACACTTACAACTTGGGAGTTTTCTCGTGTGGTTCAACCAACGCTCGGCTTCTGCATCGTCATGCATGATGCTGTTCTGTGTACACAGTACATGCAAGAAGCATGTTGCGAGGGGCATTGAGCAAATGGTTTCAGGATTTGCGGACTACCCAAACCCAGTTGAAAACCATATGTTAAAAGGATTCGACCTCCATGTGGCACACCCAACTTTGGTGATCCCTTTTTTCTTACGGAACCACGGGGCAGTGAAGAGATTCAGCAGAGTGATTAGACAGTTCCTCTGTACAGTAGACTGAAGGAGAACACAGCGAATAGAGCCGGAGCAGCGACTGCCACGCAAAGAATGCAACGTGCTGCCAAATCACATGTCCCACACGGAAAGAGACTTGGGTTGGCAACCTTCAGCTGCATGCAGCACGCACGCACGCAGGAGAGGGGACAAGAGGGACAGAGGGTGCAGAGACGAGAAGCTCCAAGTTTGTAACGGTTCAACGCCGTAATACGTCATCGGTGGCACGCGGGCTAGCACAGGAGGAGTTTGGAAACAAGGACAGTCCAGGTCACCACCGTCTTGGCTTGGGGTCACTTAGCCCGTCCTTCAGCTCATCTTTTCCTTGGCCATTGATGAAATAAATCAGGATTTGGACTTCGAGCAATGTGATTAGTATTGTCTCGCGTTAAAACCTCCTGGGGCTATGGCCGTAAACATCACTACTTACACCGCCTGGCCCCTTTCCCTTCCTGTTGAAGTTGCTTGAGCCCAGAAGCAACAGCACCCATCCACCGGCTTGGAAAAGGCCAAGACTCAGGTCCACTGCCCCGTTTCCGGCTAGGCCAGCCGATGACCCGCCAGTACGCCAAATCCGCCTGATGCGTGCACTGGCTGCAAGCACCGTAGCAACTCGGCCGAGACGCTCTGGTCCGCTATCTGGTGAGGGTCAACTTAGTCCAGGGGCTCCATCCCCGATTCTCGACGGCGACCTTAACTCGACACCACTTGCAGCTCACTGCACTCAGGAGACCGCGCTGCTCCCGACGCCCGGTTCGTTCCCGTGGAGCTGCCACACCGGCGGCATTTCTTTCGGGGCACAGTCGAGCCGCCTGATCATCCACAGCCAAAATCCTTCAACCACCAAATACATACCAATATCCCAGATATCCAACACATGCTCCCAGTGTCTTCGTCCCTCTCCCACGGCGTGACCTTGCTGTGTCCTGCTCTAGTCCTGTATCCTTGGGCGACCCCTCAATGCCGTTGGTGAATACCAACACCGGCACCAGTACCACGACCACAAGAGACGGAATTATGCACTTCGCCCCTCGCATTGCTTGTGTGCACATCCAGCAGCTCCTTTCTCTCATGCGATCGCAGCGTCGCCCCGTCTCCCCTTGCCATGTCGACCGCTAGAGCTTCCATCGCGGCCACCCCGTCCCCGCAACCACCCCAGCAACCACAACAACAACCACAACAACAACCACAACAGCAACAACAACATCATCCCGTCGCATACAGCTCGCCGAGCTACTTTCCCCAGCAACAACATCAACAACAACAACAGCGACCGCAGCCACAGCCGCAGTCGCAACAACCACAACCACAACCACAACAACAACAACAGGAGTTTCGCACAGCGCCCGTCGATCCCGACGCGCCGCCCAACGCGGCCGCCAATTCGCAACACTACACAAACCACATTATTGCTCCCGTCGCTACCCGGCCCACGCGATTCACCGAAGAGTGGGACATCAGCCAGCGCGGCAGCTCTATCATTCTTGACGGTCCCGCGGTCTCTGGTAGCGGCATTGGCGCTAGCGGCGGCAGCAGCGGAGCCGTCGCAAACAACAACCTGAACAATAACAACACCAACAACAACACTATGTCGCAATCGCGACCAGCTTCGTATGTCGGCCCCTCGGGTACCGGCGGCGGCATTGCCTCAAGCGCAAGCGCGACAACTGGGGGTAGCATCGGAGGAGGTGATGTCGCCTCGGCGGCGACTGCTCTTTCGCGCAGCAATACGCTCAAGAAGAGGGCGTCACTGCGGAGGAGCGTGAGCCTCAGGCGCAGCGGCAGTCGCCGGAGCATGAAGGCTGGGAGCGTTAGGAGCCTGGCCCTACAGCCGGCCGCCGACCATGATGAGGAGCTGATGCATAGTGCTTTCTATTGCCCGGTGCCGACGAACGGGAACCCTACTGAGGTACTTGCGAATCGATTCCAGGGTGAGTAGGACTTAGGATCGGTTCCTGTTTCTCCCGAGCGCTCTCGCTGACGACGACCGACATTTGCTGACCTGGTATGGAATAGCTTGGCGCAAGATCCTCAAGGATCTGATCGCATACTTCCGAGAGGTTCAGTCGCATTACGAGCAGCGGGCAAAATCCCTGTCAAAGCTGTCAACCGTGTTGAACAACATCGGTACTCCGCCGGGGTTCCTTAGCGAAGGTGGCATCGATGACGCTCTGCAAATCCTGCGCAACTTCAGCAAGCAGGCCGTCACCGAAGCGACTAAGGCAAAGGAGATCGAGGAGGACGTGATCCTGGCCCTCATCGGCTTACGCAACGATCTCCACGCGAAGATCAAGGAGATTAAGGGGCTGGCTGGCGACTTTAAGAATTCGGTCGAGAAGGAGATGGATAGCACCAGGAAGGCCGTCAATCAGCTTCAAGAGGTCCTTGGTCAGGCCGAGCTTGACCCGTCATTGACCACAGGCAAGCAAGATCCGTATCTTTTGAGGTTGGCGGTTGATCGGCAGCTCGAGCGGCAAATCGATGAGGAAAATTACCTCCATCAAGTTAGTCCAGGGTATCTGGTTGCTCTTTAGCTTCCTGCTGACATCCTTTTTTTTTTCTTCTAGGCCTACCTGAACCTAGAAAATTCCGGAAGGGAGCTTGAGTCCATCGTTGTGGGCGAGATTCAAAAAGCGTACAATGCGTATGCGGGTATTCTCAAGCGTGAGGCGGATAACGCCTACAATGCGGTCGAAGAGCTCCGAATGGGCCCAATTTCCATGCCTAAGGATAAGGAATGGAACGACCTTATTCGGCGGGATGACCGGTTCGTTGACCCGGAGGTTCCTATGCGCTCCGCTGAGTTCATCCATTACCCCGGCCGCGATCATTATGCCTGCCAGGAAATCCGCGCGGGGCTCTTGGAGCGCAAGAGCAAGTACTTGAAGAGCTACACACCGGGGTGGTGAGTATCTTGACTGGGCCCATCTCGCTCATTTGACACCAAACTAACGCTTTACTAGGTATGTCCTCTCTCCAACTCATCTCCATGAGTTTAAATCCGCCGATAAGACTCAAGCGCCGGTTATGTCACTCTATCTGCCCGAGCAGAAGCTCGGCTCGCACTCCGAGGAAGGAAGCAGTTCCAACAAGTTCATCCTCAAGGGCCGGCAGACCGGCCACATGCACCGTGGTCACACCTGGGTTTTCCGTGCCGAGAGCCACGACACCATGATGGCTTGGTACGAGGACATCAAAGCTCTCACTGAACGCACCCCTGAGGAGCGCAACAACCTGATGCGCAATGGCGGCGGCACGTCGTCGCGAAGTGTTAGTCGCTCGTCGCAGCGCTCGGCCACCAGTAGCGATGGAGGTGTCGTGGACGACGACGATGATGATGACCAGGAACCACCGTTTAGCAGTGGCGCAGTTATCGGACAGCAGCAGGGTCAACAGTCACAACAGCAACAGCCGAGACAGCAGCGGCCGGCTGCTGCCGGACGGTTCCCGTCGGATATTCAAATCAATCTGCAGCGGGCGATGCAGGCGCCGCCTATCTCGTCGCCGTTGAGCGCGCATTCGGGATATGACGAGGTCTTTGGCGGGCATGAGTATGCTACGGCCAATGAACGGCTTGGGGACGTGCAGCAAACTCAGCATCTTCATGGACAGCAACAACAGCGCGATGGCGGTTATGTGCCCGCGCAGGTCGTCACGGATGGCCATGATGTATCATCTCCTTGGGCGAGAGCCGTTCCTGCGGCGGTGCCCATGACCCCAAGTCCCATGCCGCATGGGAATGTTTATCACCAACAGCTGACGTCTTCGCCACCGCATGGCGGCGGCAGCATTGGCGATGTTTACAGCCCTCCTATTTCACATCTGCAGGTTAAAGCCCACAATACGGGTACTAGCAACCTTTCTCAGATGACAAACGGTGGTGGTGGTGGTGGTGGTGGTGGTGGTGGTAGTAGTAGTAGTGGAGGAGGGATTCTCGGTCAAGACCCCAGCAGTTCTCGGGCTGCTGCGTATGATTCAGGCGGACAGGTTCAGCAACGGGCTGGGATAGTCGCTGTTGCGGATGACCCCAACAATGTGGTGCCTGCTATTGGGTCATCTCCCCCAGTCCAGAGTGGTCCTCTTAACAGAACGAACAGCATCCCTTTGCATATACCGGGGGAGTATCCGAAGTAAAAGGTTTTGGGTTATCTCAGGCAATAGGGGAGAAGAGTAGGCGAGGTGTTTCTACGAACCACAGAGAGTGGCCAAGGGTTGTCGCTTTGACCACGACAAACGGATATGGGAATACAGATAGATACCACATGCTTGCCTGCCTGGAGTTCTACGTACCGACCGGGCTAGGCCATATAAGGACAGGACTCCTGGGTTTCTGAAGGAGACAGTATGATTTATGGATTGATCGTCGTCGGGAGTTACTTGGCTGCCTGCCTAACCCGGGGTTCGTATCAGGCCTTTGGGCAGTTCAACCTTTTGACTGTACAAAGTTGCGCCCTCGTAAGGCAGAGATGTACACAGGACCTATGACTTGTTGAGATGATGTAGCCAGCAGTAGTCTGCTTAGGATCGGGCTGCTCCTGATATTACGATGACATGAGACAAGCTCGTAGCACATTTTCCAATATGCCTTTACCCCGTGATCTTTATTTTCGTCCCCATCTCACTGCACGCCTCGCACAAGATCAAGATGACTGACGTTAATTTGGCGGCTGGCCGTTAGTTGGCGTGAAAAGGACAGCCCCCAGCAAGAAACCAGAGACCGCCCAAATCCCAACCTATTGCGCCCTTTTCGTAGCATACACATGAGAGCTGAAATGGTCCGAAGAAGCGTTGCACCTCCCAGAAATTAAAAGACAAACCCAGATGATCCCATTCCGAAAAACGCCCATACAACCGAACCATGCCCTACGGCTCCGAAGACACCACCTTTCTAGTCATTGAACGCTGCCAGGCCTCGCTGTTGTCGAAGGTAGATAGAAAATGCAGTCGGTCCTCCCACGGTATAGTTGAAGAAAGGCCCGGCTTTCCACCTTAACAAGAGCAGAGGACCGTGCTGTTGTTAGTGCTGGAATGACAAAGACAGCGTTCCCACGATTATAGAGAAGCCGCACTGTCAACCTCGACAGACAACAGCAATGCCAGTCGTCCTTCAATACATGCATGATGGTATCATACTCCTCTCAAACGCCATCCCCGAGTGACACACAAAGCACTCATTTGCCCCGGCCACCACGGAAACCACCGCGCGAGAAACCACCGCCGCCGCGACCACCCCTACCGGCACCACCGCCACGGGCACCACCACGAGCGCCGCCGCGGCCGCCACCGCGACCACCGCGCGCACCGCCGCGGCCGCCCCGACCGGCAGCACCACCCTTCTGACCGGGCTTCTTGACCTTGTTGGCCGCGTTCGGCGGGGGCTTGGGCTTAGGAAGGAACTTCTCCGTGGGAAGCAGCTTCTCGGTCGAAATGTAGAACTTGTCGCCGGGCTTGAAAGAGGTCGCCTGAACACCCTCGGAAGGCTTGATCGTGAAGTAGACTTGATTAATAGGCCCGAGTACTTCATCGACCTTGCCAATCGCAGTCTGTAGTGGGGTAAAGTTAGTAAAGTCGAAGAACGAAAGTCAAAAGTCGTAAAATTGGCGATGCGCACCTTGTTCTCGAGGTAGATCGGAGCGTTGAAGTGAGGAATCTTGGGGTTGGTCGACGCAACTACCATCTCGCCCTCGCAGGCATGAACGAAGGTGCCCATCTCAACGACGGTGGCCGGAGGGCCGGCATCGCGCTGCTGAAAGCCGCCGCGGCCTATTTTCCAGGATGTCAGAATTCCTGCTGTCGCCAATGGTCTTGTTTCGCCCGCAATTGCGGACGGATTCCTTGTGACTTACCACCACCGCGACCGAAACCGCCGCCGCGGCCGCCTCGTGCACCCCCTCTAGACGCCATTGCGACGATCGAATCCGCCGATGATGCTTGGAAGGATCGGCGGTTTGATTGGGGAAGTCGTGGGTCGCTTGATGTCGCCAGTCAGGAGGATCGCGTTCGATGTCTGTGACTTGGAAACTTTTCGGACTTCGAGACGTTGATATTTTTTCGGTTCTAGCATGGCCCGACTCGAGGGCGGTCAAAAATTTTGCCGTTCTGCAAGCCCCACATTCTTTCCAAGTGGGCACGGTCTGCAGGCGTGCACCGACCACCACTGCCAGCCCCCCTCCTACACCTATCCCTTGTGTTGCCAAGACAAACAAATCTGGACCCTGTTCGCACTGTATCTCACACGGTTCACCAATTTTTGGCCTGCCAATTGCATGGCAGCCTGCGCTGAAAAGATGCCAGAAAAAGCAGTGGCCAGGTTGTCAAAGTCGCCGCAGCGACCCGTGGCCGTGCAAACAAATGCCCCTGAGGGCTGATATGGTCCTGTAACTTGCAGAAATCCTGGTTTTTGTCCAACATCTAGCTCTGTGGTAGCTTGGAATCACAATCTGTTCTCTTTGATCCCTTTCCAATTGTTTGTTGGACCTCCTTTCGCTCAGCGCCTCGTTGCCTCTACCAGGCCGAGCACCAACGTTCATACCAAGTTTCGAGTTTCGCTGCGTTTCCTTGAGAATCGCATCCACTAGTCACAGCGCTCAACTTGACTTGACTGCATCCGTTTGCATCCCCCTGCACCCCCCCGACTTTGCCCAGCATCTCCACAACCACCACGATGCTGGTCTCCCTCTCAGCGCTGGCCTTTGCGGCCGGTATTCTGTCGACGCCATCGCTGGTGAACGGACTCTCTCCAGCCGATATACCCGCGGACACTCCCGTGTCTCGGCTCCTTGCGTCGGCTCAGGCTCACCTCTCTAAGGGCGAGACCAACGATGCTCTGGTCTACTACGATGCTGCCGTCGCAAAGGACCCTACGAACTACTTGACCTTCTTCAAGCGCGCGACGACATATCTCTCGCTTGGGCGCACCGCGCAAGCCGCTGATGACTTCGAGAAGGTGCTCAAGCTGAAGCCCGGGTTCGAGGGCGCCCATGTCCAGCTGGGCAAACTAAAGGCTCGCACGGGCGACTGGGACGCCGCAAAGGCGCACTACAAGAAGGCGAAGAAGACGGAGGAGATCGCTAAGGTGGATGGGGCCAAGAGCGCGCAGAAGCAGGCCGAGAAGGCGGCTAAGGCGGAGAAGTGGGAGGACTGTATCAAGCATGCCGACGACGCCATCGTGGTCGCAAACCGTGCGCTGTCTCTGCGGCAACTGCGCGCCAAGTGTGCGCTCGAGGGAGGTTCTCTGGATCGGGCCATTGGCGATTTGCAGCATGTTCTTCAGATGAGCCCCGGGAACACGGCGCCGCATGTCATGATCTCGGCTATCCAGTTCTATGGTATGGGCGATCTGCAGGATGGTATGTCGTCGATCCGGAAGTGCCTGCACTCCGATCCGGACTCGAAGGTGTGCAAGAGGTTGCTGAGGGACGAGAAGGCGGTTGAGAAGGCGGTCCAGAAGATTAGCAAGGCTTTGGAGAAGAACCAATATATGACGGCAGTGCGGCAACTAGTACCAAGTGCCGATGATGAGGGTTTGATCAGCGAGGTCAAGAAGCAGGTCCAGGCGCTAAGGGACGAGGGCCATCTGCCCAAGAGGGCAGGCAATGCCTTGCTCTCGAGGTTAGTCGAGATGGCGTGCCAGGCATACTACGAGGTGAGCACCGACAGCCTTCCAGTCCCATTAGCCACATGCTAACTCTCTTCCTCAGTCCAACAGCAAGAAGGCCAAGGACTACTGCGATGAATCCCTCAAGCTGGACGAGAACTCTTTTTACGGCCTGCTCTACCGCGCCAAGCAGCTCCAGGAAGAGGAAGAATACGAAGCCGCAATCAACACTCTCCGCAAGGCAGCCGAAGCGCGGCCCGGCAAGGAAGACATCATCAACCCGCTCATGCAAAAAGCCCAGATCGCCCTCAAGCGCAGCAAATCTAAGGACTACTACAAAGTCCTCGGCGTGCCACACGACGCGGATGAGCGCCAGATCAAGTCAGCATACCGCAAGCTCTCGAAGCAGTACCACCCTGACAAGGCGGCGAAGCAGGGCCTCACCAAAGAGCAGGCCGAGAAGAAGATGGCCGCCATCAACGAAGCATACGAAGTACTCAGCAACCCGGAGCTGCGCGCGCGCTTCGACCGCGGCGACGACCCCAACAACCACGAGCAGCCGCCGCCGTTCCAGGGCAATCCCTTCGGTCACGGCCATCCGTTCATGTTCCACCAGGGCGGGCCCGGCGGCGGTGGCTTCCAGTTCAAGTTTGGCTCGGGGTTCCCGTTTGGCGGGCCGTTCGGCGCGCAGTTCGGTGGCTAAGGGGATTGTGTCTTCTAACGCTTTCGTGTTTATTCCTTGTGTGTTCGGTTCATTTGCTTGCATCACAGGAAGGGAGTTTGGTGTTCATAAGGAAGGGCGGGAGGGGGAAGGGGGCTGTGGGTCTTTCAAGAAAGCCCGGGATCATTCTTAGGTAGTTCAGGACGGTTACCCTAGGGTTTATGATGATCAAGAAGGTACACACGAGCATGGTCAATTACACATTGGTCAAGTTATCATCTGCGTTTGCGGCTTGGGCAGGATCGTTGGATTTTTTATGTAGTGAAACAGCGTCAAAAACAAGCATGTATACGCTAAAAAAAAAAAGTCATTCCAGCAGCGCTTATGGGGACAGCAGCACTTTGGTAAGCTGATGTGTGTACTTAAGTGGTTTACTTCTGAGTCTTCACCTGTCTGGGCCTTCTCCACGCCATTTGGGAGCGGTATACAGCAATGAGAAAGATGACCACAACCGCCAGCGTGTCCTCTCATTCTTCCGAACCCGGAGCATCACTACGCTGTGGCCCCCCTTCCCGCAGGATATTCTCCGACCGTGGACTTGCTCGCTAGGGACAGACGCGTGCGTCTTTGACAGGCAGGGCGGCGGTTCGATGTGATCGCGGGAGATGTGGCGTAAGGTGGTAGACACTTAGCCATAGATGGTAGAATGAGCGTACAATACGTATACGCGGTAGAACACGGTGTGTGACATAAAAGAGGCAAGCAGGATCGGTCAGTGATCGACAATTGAGAATCCCCTGGCTGAACACGCTGTCACCATTCCCGGGACTACGGAACCTGACTTTTACCCCGCGCCATTCCGAATTCCACATGTCTGTCTTCCCCGCGAACCATCTATGAAAAGTTACGATGCGAGATGGAGAAGGTAAGATCAGGAAAAGAGATTGGGAGGAAAAAACAAAAAAAAAAAACAAGGGGCCGGGGGGTATCACCACAAAACGGAGTCATCTGATCAGGCACCCTATGTATCCCATCCACGTATCACACACACAAGTCACCGTAAGAGAACGAGATGCAGAAGAATCATCATACACCGGAGTCATCAATGCGCATCCATTCCAGATATACATCCGCCCTGTCTCCCATCCATGCACCCGGTTTTTCCCATCTTCTTCAGATCTCTAGTCTCGCGAAGATAGCAAAACCAAACCACCACCAAACCCAGGAGCGGCCATGATAATGATGACACCCAGCGGAAAAAAAAAAAAAGAGACGAAAAGGAAGAAAGATTATGTACACGATGCCGTTTGTTTTCTTCCAAAGCCCACACGGGCAACCCAAGCTGACGATATACCCCTTTGGTGATGGCCCAAGCTGGCTGGTTATTTTCAAACCTCCAGCTGGCCAACCAATAAGGTCGTCTGACCAGTTCGGGTGCCGTGAGGAGAGGACGAGGAGCCGCATCGACGCTCCTGTGTCCCAGGTTCCGATCTCTGCCAGAAGTCCTCTTATCGTTTTGAGATGTCATGTAAAACGAACCGAGGATTTTTTTTTGGTTGCTACGCCCCCTCTATAGTGTATCTGTGTAGATAGAACTGCAGATCCTATCTGTACAAACCCCTAAGGTTTAGTTCGCATGGTACAAGAAAGGTGCGGGGTCGGAGTGCTGCGAGGTTACCATTGTTTGCGAATTAAGCCCAATTATCCACTTCCGACCGATCATGTGGAGTTCTGATGAATAAAGTAGGCCCTGGAACACGTCAGTCAACATTGCCCCAAGCAAAGTGTCCAGACGGAAGCAAAGAGCACATACTTTGACGCCTCGTAGGCCGACCAGCAGATGGCCGTGCTCGGCATGGTAGTCAGCACGCGAGGCTTGACACCCTTAAAAAAGCCGCGGAAGCCCTCGCGCTTGTACAATAACCGGCAGCCAGCCGTGAAGCCGCTGACGGTCCGGAGCTCGGCGTCGGTGGCGGTACCGCGAGTCTGGAGCATCGTCTTGATCACGTCCATCGGTGTGGTCAATGCGGCGGCGAAACCACCCGCTACGGCGCCGGCCAGGCAGTGGGTGAGGGGGTCATATTTCTTGGTCGGGTTCAGGTGCGTCGAGATGGACTCGTAGGCAAGGAACTGGAGGGCAGTGAAAGGGACCGTCATTGACAGGGTCGTGGGGTAGGATACGTAGAAGGCCGCCAGACCCTCTTTTCTGTATACATAACGGGCGCAGTCGAGCATGGAGCGGTACATCTTGGAGGAGTTGGCGATCTGCATTCTCTGCTTGATGACTGCAAACCGTGATAGTTAGCAAGGGACACCAAAGATGACTCTTGGAGCTGCGTTCAGGACTCACCATCGAAGGGGTTCATCAGGGCGTCGCTGGCGATTGTGGCGCAAGCACCACTGGTCGCAGCAGCCAGAGGGTGGTGAACGCCAGCCTGGTTACCACCCATGAGGTGCTTGACAGCCTCATAGGTAGCGAAATAGACAGCATGCGCAGGGCCTAGAGGTGCCCATCGTCAGCTGACATGTTCCAGATTGTCCAATATGTCACCGCAGACTCACCAGCCCCGACTATAACACTAGACATGCCGCGCCATAAGCTGAGGATACCCTCGGTGGTGGCCATCCGGTAGGTCGCCTGGATTACGCCGCGGGGAGCGGAGACAGCAGTAGCTACCTGCATGCGGGTCTTGATTGCATCGACAGGATACACTGGAATCCCAAGTTAGCACCTTGCGCTTGCTGCAGCCTGGGAGCCGATCACCATGGAGCCATGGAGGGGGCGACCTACTTGCGCAGTGCTCGGCAATGCCGGCGAAGGCGCCGGCAGCCATGTTTTGCACCAGAGAGAAGTTAGGCGGGAGCGACTCATAACTGCACAAGTAGTGTGGTGTTAGCCGCACATCGAACCCCCAATATCAAGATCGCAAGTGGGCGAGTCGAGCCCCGCGCTGTGACTGCATCACGGAAAAAGGATGGCAACGCAGACACAGGGCAACGACATAACACAGCACAGCACATACTCGTATTCCTCCACGGGCTCGGCATTAGGCTGAGCCATTGTGGAAGCCACGGCTCCCGTGGCGCCGACGTTGAGAGCCAGGTTGAAGGTTAAAGCGTCGGACACTCGACGACGAGGTAAGGGCAGGGCCGTGAAGGCGGCGGCGGCGGCGGTCGTGCGGGTGGTCGGCCCTGGTGGGAGCTCCTGCGCGGCGGCGGCGACTGCAGAAGCAACCAGGTGACGCAATACGTGCACGCACCGAGAAGCGAAGCTTGCTTCCGGATTTTTCTGGTTCGCTGTACCGCAAAACCGCAAACCGGGAGCAACGGGTGCCCGGGCTGATGAGTCGACGCTGGATCGAGCCTCGGTCGAGTTGGTCACGAGGACTGCGTCACTCTGCCTTCGCTCGCAATTGGGAAAATGGAGGGGGCAGTGGACGACGACCTCGAGTTGGTGTTGATCGAAGATTCTGTAGTAAGTGGCTATTGACTAGTATTATGGAATTTTGGGAGGAAGAGTGAATAGCAGGGGGGAGGTGGTATTTTTTGGGGACCTGAGAATTGATTGCTGGAGTTGCGGCCAGACAGTCAAGGCTCCAAAGATGGCAATCCAATTGGGGTCCAACACAAAGGTCGAACAATTAGAAATCGCTGTATGAGCAAACGGTGGATGGCTGCTCTCCAGCAGGTCAGTGATTTTTTTTTTTCCGCAGGGCGCAGGCGACCGTTGTCGGCGGTCCCCGTTCTCACAAGCCAGGGCAGCGGACAGCGGGCAGCGAGAAGCTTTGGCACTTCCGCACTCCCACTCCCAGAAAAAAAATGGGCACCTCGGCGGACGTAAGCAAAATGTGGATGTACGCCGAAGAAGGCGGAGGGGGGGAAAGGGAATTGACAGCTCCTCCCACGGCTCCCGCACCTGAACACGCAGAAACACTCTCACTGCAGAGGCACCAAGCACCACACTGTCTCCAGGAAGGGCCACAACTCTTACGTCCACTAGCATCCACGAACCCGCACCAGGGGTGGCAAGGCGGCAACCTTGGAAGGGAATTTTGGGGGTGCCCCGCAAACCACGCGCACAAGATGTCCTGTGACTGGCCCGCGGGAAGCTCTCTGCCCCACATGACCGATGCCCGCCGCACGCCCAAGCCTGACCCAGGCTTCGGGGTTGCTGCAACCACTGCAAGTGAAAGCGCTGGAGCACTGGAGCTGGGCACCAAAAGCACTCTTGGTCCCTCGGCAAACCCATCCCTGCCGGCTTCGTGCCTTGCCGCATCTCTTATCAGATCCGCGTGTCTCCGCCGGGCGCCGAAAAGGCACCAAATTTCCAAGCCCCTTTCTCCGAGGTCTGTCCGTGACTCCGTCACGTCCTATGCACCTTGTGTGCCCACTGTGTACGTAACAGCCAACTCTTTGCGGCATCTTATCAGGCTTGGCTGCACGTATCGCCGCGGTCACCACCGAATTATATGTTTCGTGATGTCTTTTGAACCTGCCGAACCCGCTGTGACTGGCAGCCGCTCTCCGATCATCGGTTGTTTTTTTTGCCTTGACACGGGGCTAGACATCCGCGAACCAGGCTCCCACGCCTCAGATGCATTGGGGACTGCAGCTAGGTTTCAGATCGACAGTCGGGAAGTAAAACATGTAATCGTATTCAGATGATGGGGAAGCACTACATCCACACATACTACCTGCTCGTGAAGCCAGAAAAGATCATTCCCAAACCATGAACCATATACACCATACCATGGCCTATGCTCTACCTGACACCTGATACCAGGACCCCGAACGCCGACCATCCATCTCTTCGAATCATGACCCTCTCACCGAACTCCGCCCGGCCTACGATTAAGCTGCGCCTGGTTGAACTGGTATATCATATGCACGACGCCTGCATGCGGCGCTGACATCGCCGTATCCTCCCGGTTGAGCGTCCGCGCCGGCGACGTCTGCCACGCCGACTCGTCCAGCGCGACGCCGCCCTCAAACGCTTCCTCGTCGTCCTGCCGCTTGTCCTCGTCGTTGTCCTCTTCATCGGGCTCCTCCATAATGTTGCTCTCCCTCTGATGCCCGGCGCCACGCTGCTGTTGCGGTTGCTGGGAACGAGCGCGCGCGCCAAAATTCGTGCCTGCTGGGGGCTGGTGATGTGGATCAAGCAGGATGGATGCCATTGGCGAGGGTTGATGCAACCCGGTTCCCGTGCGAGGCAGCATCCTACTACGGCCCATCCGAGAAGTCTGAAGATCTGGCTCGTTAATGCCCGGCCAGACAGGCGGAGGATGGAAGAACCTCGAGCCATGTGGGAAGTGTGAACCTGTACCCTTCTTAGGGTCCAAGACAAAATTTCCGTAATTGCCCAGAAATCCGTAGTACGAGGCTTCCATCTTCCCGTGCTTGGTCGAGTAGTAGTCATCCCGAACGTCCCCTGTGCCCTCCTTGGCCTTCTTTTTGCCGAAACCGTTCTTGAAGTCAAACTCGGCGAACGAACAAACATAGCCAAGCCCGTCAACGTGAATGGTGAACTCGCGGAAGAAGTCGATGATCTGGTCGCTGCACTTGGGGAGACTCGACAATAGCACGAAAGGTGTCGTGAGGATGCTTAGAATCTCCTCGATGAAGATGATGACCTTCATCTTGTACAACTCTGAGAACTCGGCCTTGATATCGGCGCTGTGGAGCCTGCCCTCCCAGTGGTCCGGATTATAATGAGTGTATTGAATCACATTCCGCATGGCCAATTCGGGGTTGAACACCAAGTGGTCCTCCGAGATCATACCCCTCGCAAAGGCCCAAACACTGCCAAAGACAGCTGTGTAGAAGAGCACGGTGCGGTCGTGGGTGATTTCGAAACCAAGGAAGAGATCAGGGTCGATGACTGAACAAATGGCCAGCACCGTGGCAAGGGCACCGGAGACGAAAGCCACCGTTCGTGCAACCATTTCGGTCTTTGCCTTGGGAAACTGGTCGATGTAGTGAATGGCGTACGGATGCGACATGTTGAGTCGCTCACGGAAGAGGTGTGGCAGCTCATTGAACTCTCGGAATTTCCATTCCGCTAGTGGCGTATATGTCCGCGACGATAGAACGGAAGGGTTTTTTTGAACCTCCTGCAAAAATCGACATGTTTAGCGCTTGCTGATTCTAGTTAGAGGAGAACCAGCCCAGCCAGACTTACATGATAATACATCAAGAAGTACACCACGACGAGGTAGCCCGCGATGAAAGGAGACAACACAAGGATCAAGATTCCCGAGAAGGCAAAGCGCCGGCGAAGCTTCATGCTGAGCTCGTGTCGGCGTTCAGATCTCAGGAATACCGGATTCACTTGTCCCCTCTCATCGAAGACAAAGTCAAGGATGGCGAAGTTATCATCCATTCTAGCGTTCTTGAAAGGAGTTGGCGCTTGCGGAGAAACGGCAGCGGAATCGTCAAGTCCAGAATGTCTTTGTTGAAAAGAGCTATCATGTAGTTCTCACGCCGCATCAACCGATTGGCAATATCGGAAGCATCAAGTCGTTCCTTCGACTGGCTTCCTAACCACTGCCGCTGCTCCGGAGTCAAATTCGTGGCCGTCTTAGGATTCTGATCCCTAAGAGCCATGATGCGCGCAACAACCTCCTGCCAGGTAATGGTTTGCATATCGTCATCCGGAATGTTGAGGAGATAGATGTAAAAGTCGCGGACATGCAACAACCGCCGCATATCCAACAGATATTGAATCAGCTTCCAAATAAAGTAAAACGCAAACATGAACAACCCCGTATTCCAGAGACCCGACATGTTGCGGGTACACTGAGGTACGAGGATTTGGGATAGCTTTTGGCTTCCGCGGACTTTGCTGTAGTCTACGCATTGAGTAAGAAAAGTCAACAGAACGGCCACAAAGGCAACGTTCCTACTTGTTGTTAGCAAGACCAACGAAATCAGGGAAAGGCTACGCCCACACGACTTACACTAGGTGTAGGAACCTGTCGGTTAGAATGCACCAGATGCCGTGCCCAAGGTAGTAATCATAAACATCTTTGATGAAGAGGTCGAGATTTGTCACATTAGCCCATCGCCATTCTGCCCTCTTCTTTGCACTGCCAGATATAGACCCGGAGAACAGAGAAGTCGGTAGGCTGACGCCATGATGATGCGAAGCGGGTGGGTTATTGGCGCGTTGCCTTGGCGGAGTGTGGGCTGCATCCCAATGCGCGCGCGGGGTGGACGGTCCAGGGATGGCTGTTCCCTGATGACCACGGCTGACCTTCCTCGGCTGGCCAGGTCCGCGCCCAGAAGACCCATCGTGGGCTTCGACCAGCAGCGACGGAGGAACATCGTTATCGCCATCGTCGTCGTGCGGAGCCCATGTGGACTTGCTGGTGCTGGCCCGAGTCGGACGGTGAGTAGGTCCGCGGCGGGGCCGTGAAGGCGGCGGACTAGCTGCCCCTCCTAAGCTTGGACGGCTGTCATCAACTTCCAAGCCTTCTGCGTGTTCAAGGTCGTAATCGTTGAACTGATGTCGAAGGTTCTCTTCGTCAAGGAGCGCAGCGCGGGACTCAACGTCATCGTCTCGACGAGAGCTCTCACCGAAGAACGACCGGCCCTGCGCTGGGGGAAAAGCTCGGGAGAACGGGTTGGAGGCCATCTCGAGCTGGCCTCAGCGTGTGGGGTTGTCGAGGTTGTCTTGCTTAAGCATCGAGAGGATATTTAGGGGAACTAGGCGATTGGGATATGTAAAGCTTGACCTGTATCAGCTTCTGCCAAAGCGTTTACGTACTGTCTATCGCGGACGAGAGGGCTAAAGTGCGTGCTGCGGAAGAGGGGAATCACTTACAAAAACGGCGGATAAGCTTGATAAGCGCAAGAGAGGTGTAAGAGGGGTCACGAAGGTATCTCTGGATGCTCAGGTCACCAGGTGCTGCCAGCAGGCAGAGTTTTTTCCTGGAAGACGATACATCACCAAGCGCAAAACAACCAGCGGCGCCGTTTGAGCCCGTGCCTTGTGGACGGAAGCCTGTCGCAGCGCTGAGTTGGTCCAGGTGACTGCGCCAGAATGACGAGTCTGGACCATATCGACGCCTTTACGGAAGGCGGTGTGACAATGCCAAGCCCTCTATCGATTATCGTGCTATGGTAACATAGTGCGGGTTGCTGTAACGTTTGTTCGGTATGGTTGTCACACCGTGGTACCCGTACCGTTTCCGTTTTGGTGTACAACTCCGTTCCTGTACTTACGCCAGCTTGGGTGACAACAGACACTCATCTTCCAATGGTAGAGCTGGCGTGAACAATTCATCCCAGGATTTTATAGGGACAACACGGTGCTACGCCTAGTCTTCCAGATGATATAGCGTAGTAGACGATGACAACTTCAAGCAACCAAGTTTTATCTCCTCCAAGTGCGCCTGCCACGGCGACAGCGAAATCGGGGAATCCTCTCCTGTCCAAAGCCACGACGATCCTGTCAACATCGTTTACCGACGCCGAGTTTCGAAATGCTCTTGGGTTACTGGATGAGCGAGGAGTTGTCAACACACCGGAAACGCGCCGCAATTTGCGGCTAGACATTCAGAGAGAGCTAATTGACACCAATGGCGAAATCATTGATGAGTTTGCTAAAGTGGCCGAGGTTGGATAGCCCTTATTTTTTTTTTTTTGTGAAATAACAATTATGAGAGCCGCTTCTGACAGACCATAGCAACTCCGACGTATTGGGGCCACTATTGGCAAACTCAATGAAAGCTTCAACGAGATGAAGTCCCAGATTGGAGCGGCTCATCAAGCGACATCCTCCACACTGGCTGAAGCGTCCCAGCTCATGACACAACAGCGTCAGGTCGAACAGAAGCAGGCTCTACTCAAAGCCTTCAACACCAACTTCATCCTCTCCGACGACGAGGTGGCCACACTCACCCAGATGTCTGAACCTGTTGACGGCTTGTTCTTTGCCACACTTGCCAAAGCCAAAAAGATTAGTAAAGATTGCGAGATCCTACTTGGCTTTGAGAACCAGACCCTCGGGTTGGAAATCATGGAGCAGGTGTCGAAGAACCTCAACTTGGGATTTCAGAAGCTCTACAGATGGGTTCAAAAAGAGTTCAAGACTCTCAATCTCGAGAGCCCTCAGATCGGATCATCCATACGTCACGCGCTCCGCATATTGGCAGAAAGGCCAAGTCTTTTCCAAAACTGCCTCGACTTCTTCTCCGAGGCGAGGGAGCAGGTCTTGTCTAGCTCATTCTATGCCGCTCTCACAGGGGCTACGGCCCCAGGCGTGGAAGAAGCTCCTGTCAAGCCTATCGAACTTGTGGCGCATGATCCATTGAGATACGTTGGCGACATGCTGGCCTGGGCTCATTCGGCGGCAGTAGGTGAGCGCGAGGCGCTTGAAGGATTGTTCATCGCAGACGGTGAGGAAATCGCCAAGGGTATCCAAGCTGGCCGGGAAAACGAACCATGGAGGCTCGTGAGTGAGGAGGGAGAAGAGCCAGGTGATTTCGACGCGGTCAAGACGCTGAATGAGCTGGTCGACCGAGACATGTCTGGAGCAGCGCGTATCCTACGCCAGAGGATCGAGCAAGTCATCCAAACAAACGAGGAAACCATCATGGCATACAAGTTGGCGAATCTGCTCAACTTCTACAAGAGCACATTCAAAAAGCTTTTGAGCTCCGACTCTGCACTCGTGGAGTTGTTAAGTGCCCTGGAAGCAGAAGCGCTGCGGCAGTTCCGTTCGCTTGCCCGGGACCACGTGGCTGCGGTCCAGGCCGATTTCGAACAAGCACCAACAGGTTTACATCCACCGGAGTTCTTGCTTGATGCCCTCGAGCAGCTATCGGCTATCATGAAGACATATGAGTCATCATTCTCTTCTTCTGGAGACAGAGAAACTGAGTTCGAGCCCATCATGGCAGAGGCGTTCGAACCTTTTATGACTGGGGTGTCCAGTATGGCCAAAGCCCTGCGTGCCCCGTCAAGCTCAATCTTTCTCGTGAACTGTCTTGTGACCGCCAAGCGAAGCCTCTCACCATTCGAGTTTACTCAAAAACGAGTGAAACAGCTCCAGGAGGATATCGAGAAACATAAGACCATCCTGATTGAGCACCAGTACAGGCTCTTCCGCACCGAGTCTGGCTTGGATGCTCTGATCACAGCATTGGAAGCACTCAAGGATAATGACGAGGATGTGAAGAAGATGTCAACACTAGAAGCCGTGCAGCCACCGGCGCTGACCCGGGCAAGCCAGATGTTGGATAACTTCCTACCGTCGGCTCTGATGGATGCAGTGGAGAGACTACAACATTTGCAGGATTCGAAGCTGGCTCGGGACATCACCGAAGAAGCTGCCGAAAAGTTCTGTGTGGACTTTGAACATGTCGAAGAGATGCTTATGTTGGCAGATGAAAAGGCTGAGCAGGAAGCGGGTGATTCAGATGACTTCCAGAGTCTCCGAGCACTATTCCCGAGAACATCTGGGGAGATCCGGGTTTTACTGTCATAGACAATTGAGTGGGCTTGGATTTCAAAAGACGACGTTCAAATACATAAGAGTCCCTTTTCGATGACTGCACTTCATGATCAAAGTTTCACGACAGACCATGAGCAAGGGGCATTTCATTGTATACGTAATTCACACCTAGCGTAAAAATACTGACCCACTCGAACCACAGCCATGTGTATCGCTAATTGTACCGTGCGGGGTCAGACAACTAGCAGAAGGCGCGACGTCACTGCCCCACCTCACGCGTCGTGTCGGGCTAACGCTACATCGAGTTGGTATTGTTACATGTTCAGTACTTTACAAACAAGGCTGTGCTTTGGAGACCGCCTCACTCCCTTGACAAAACTGCTCAGCACGTCCCGTTCTTTCATCCAATCTATCTTCTCCCCGGTCCAGAAGTGCTGTGACAAAACAGTTTTGTACATTAGCTTGAATTGCCTGGTTACGCATGGTTTTTGTGGTGTAATATTGTTGGTAGACCGAGGAAATTTAGACAGCAGCGACGGGATGCTCCCAACCATCCATACGCCACCACCATGCCCTCTGACAAGACGGCTGCAGCCATATCCATTCTGCAGAAGACGTACGACGAGAGCTACCTGACGTGCTCGACAGCCATATACTTTGAAAGCCAAGTACGTGGCCCCATAGGGTGGTGTCAAACAACCGCTGACTGTCACTGGCCAGGGTAACGAGCGCGAGGCGCTTCGTTATTGGAGACAGGCTCTTGAGCGCATCAGTACGCATAATGCCAGCAATGTTCTCCCTCCCACCACGCGCCGTCAGGAAGCAGAACGAGCCCTGGCAGACAGCCTTCATCAGCTGGAACTGCAATGTAAGGAACGGATCGACCTCCTCGAAGCCCTCCGTCTCTCACGCGAAGAAGCCCGGCGGAACAGTGCTGCCTCTTTTGGCAGCAAAACACCCAAATCTCGCTCCGGATCGCCTGACAAGATGCCGCACAAGAAGCAAGACCCGGGTTATATCGGAGATGGGACCATTCCAGCTGTCAAGTATGCCGACCTGCCACGGCCAGACCTTGCCAGCCGGACACCGAACCGGTCCCGGTCTTCGTCAAAGAAACCAACTGCGGATACCGGGGTGAACCATTCCGATCCCGTGTCTCCGTCGCCATTACGCAGACAATCTTCGTCGGCCCCCGTTTTGCCATCCTCCGAGAAGAAGTTATCCAAAGCGTCGAGCCCCGAAAGACATATCCTACGAACCACATTACGGCCTGCTAAGACGGAAGATAAACCCGCGAAGCTCACAACGAAACGGTCTAAAGACAAAACCGAATCGCGCCCTGGAGCTAGCAAGGCTGCAGTATTGGCTTGGATTTCGGCCGAGCAACAACATGCTTCTGGAGTGCAGACACCGAGAAGCAGTCAGGAGCTGCCCCGCTCTGTCTCAAGCCCTCCGGTATCCACTGACCAAATATTGAAGAAGCATGATGAAGAACGAAGGAGCCTGGAACGCCAACGTTTGCCTTCGGCTGCAGCCCCTTTGGAAGGACTCCGACAATATGGCGAGGGTCTACAGAACGAATGGGACAGAACAGCCAGAGAGATGAATAATCGCTTCGCGAATCTAGCAGTAGCCGGGTCTCCAGCACACAGTCCAGGTGTCAAGCCCGACAAAAAAGCGAAAAAGGATTTGACAGGCGCGCGCAGACCCGAGGATATCCTAGGCTCACGGCCTGATCCCCTGTCCATCAGCGCGGCTTCTAGCGCGTTGAACTCTCTTTCGCTCAGAACCTCGAATGGTCAGCCATCGCCGACAGCTCCCGTGCACCCATCGCCCCATCATACCAGAAGGAAGTCAGGCACTATGCCGGGATTCTGGGACTTGATGATGGAAACTACCATCAAGGACAGCCGGCCTACTCCAAAGAAAACTATGACGGATCCTGCATTGGTCGTTTCGCAGCGATCTGCTTCTAAGGGAAGCTCAGGAACGAAGGACGGGCTCCTCTCTACCCCTTCAGGTAAAACAACCAGTGGCTTGTTGGATGGGAGCAGCAAGAAAGAGCCCAGCTTCGAATATGTTTCGAGGTCTGCTTCTAGGGCGCACTCGCCGACATTAGATGCAATCCTTTCTCCCCCATCCGGTAAAGTGCCTTTTACTCCATTGGAGGGAAACAGCAGAAAGGATGCATGGCCCGAGACGATCAGTTATAAAGAACCTCGTCCAGAAGATAGCAGAAGAAGGGTGTCCCGGTCAAGGCGACCTTCATTCAGTAATCCAACCTTCCCTCCATCGGCCTTTCAAACTCCAGACAAGCTATCACGTCCTAGGAGGAAGAGCGATGCGCAGTTTGAACTCTCGCCCAGTACCAATTCGACAGTGCAGTCACCAGTGGTTCCTCAAGAGGAAGAGATCATGAGCCCGGCAGACAAGTGGAAGAGACAGAGAGAAGGTATCCTCAAGAAGCTTCCGCCGGGCGTCGACCCCAAGGCGGCGAAGCAGATCCTCAACGAAGTTGTCGTGCAAGGTGACGAAGTCCACTGGAGCGATATCGCCGGCCTGGAAGTCGCCAAGAGCGCCCTGCGCGAGACCGTCGTCTATCCCTTCCTGCGTCCCGATCTCTTCAAGGGGCTGCGCGAGCCGGCTCGTGGTATGCTGCTGTTTGGCCCTCCCGGAACCGGCAAGACAATGCTTGCGCGTGCGGTTGCTACCGAGTCGAAATCGACCTTCTTCTCTATCTCGGCCAGCAGCTTGACGAGCAAGTGGTTAGGTGAGTCGGAGAAGCTGGTTCGCGCGCTTTTTGCACTGGCCAAGGTCCTCGCGCCGAGTATCATATTCGTGGATGAGATCGATTCACTGTTGACGCAGCGCTCGGGGAGGGGTGATCATGAGTCGACGCTGCGGATCAAGACTGAGTTCTTGATCCAGTGGAGCGATTTGCAGCGTGCGGCGGCTGGGAGAGAGGTGGAAGGAGTTGATGCCAATGCCAGCCGGGTGCTGGTGCTGGCGGCAACAAACTTGCCGTGGGCGATTGATGAGGCTGCGAGGAGGCGGTTTGTCAGGAGGCAATATATCCCGCTGCCAGAGCCAGAGACTAGGGCGATGCAGATCAAGACGCTGCTTAAGCAGCAGAAGCATACTCTGACTGATGCTGATATTGAGACCCTTGTTGGCTTGACGGATGGTAGGTCCCCTTGCTCCTCGCGATCTTCGTGACAAAAGCTAATTCTCCCGCAGGATTTTCCGGATCAGACATCACGGCGCTAGCCAAGGACGCGGCGATGGGACCGCTGCGGTCAGTCGGTGATGCGCTACTGCACATGAGCATGGATGAGATACGGCCTATAGAACTATCTGATTTCGTTGCCAGTTTATCGACTATCCGACCAAGCGTTAGCAAGTCTAGTATTAAGAAGTACGAGGATTGGGCCAAGGAGTTTGGAGAACGCGGTGGGTAAGGAATGGGAGGGGAAACGGTATGCATATGGGTACACTGAGGGACATGGGTATGGGCATAATTTGAGGTTAGATGATGATCAGCATACATCGAGCAGCAAATGACATGTTGGGCGCGAGGCGCTCCTTAATCTACATCTAGAAGTATCGTTCCTTGAACACCGGAAATTCCGTCATAGTCTTAGACATAAACTTTGGTGATTGTGTACAGGTATACAAAGAGTGGTATAGATGTGCCACCCTCGTCAATATACACAGGGCCTGGCAGTGGGAGGACATTGTCCCAGCATGACCCTGAATAGTACCCCTTTGTGTCTGCTTCCCCTGACCATTTTTTTTCCCAAACAGCGATTTTTCTCTAACGTAATCCCCCTGAACGACAATCCATTTGACCCGCCTCTATTGTGCCACCTTCGCCGCCAGCTCGGCCTCCCTCTCCCGAATCTTTTCCTCTGCCTGCTCTATTAACCCTTTACGCATCTCGAACTCTCTCCAGCCCTTCCTGAGGATGCGCTCGGCCACCTCGAGCGACGATTCCACCTTCTCGGCCGTCTTGCGGAGCGTGCGCCGGTACACCTTGGCGTAGCGCTTGGCCGCCTTCTCTTCCAGACGCTCCTCTTGTGTCGGGATCGGCGGGCGCTGGTCGATTGGTACGCCGGAACCGGGAGCGATGATGTACTTAACCACGTGCCGCTTTTGCTTCGATGTGCGCCAGCCCGGCTCGATGGCCACCACGTCACCCAGCCGGAGCGAGTTGCAGGGGTCGTGAACGAGGTATTGTTTCGGGTCGTCGAAGAACTGGGGGAAGTGTTAATCATCTGTCTGTCTGCCGGAGAGGTTCTCAAAAGGAAAGGAGGCCTGTACCTTCTTGACGTAGTTATTCCACTTCTGCCCGCCTACCCGCACTTTGACCGTCTTGTCCATTAACCCCGCAGACACCACGACGCCATGGAGCTCTGGGAGCTTTTTAACTTGACTCTTGATGGCCTGCGCTGCGGCAGCCGCTGCTTGTGCCATTCTGTATGGTTCGGTGGTGGATGTCGGGGGGAGGAAGGGTTGATGTTGGTGGTGCCGAGGAGGGAGAAGACAAGTCCAGTTCGATGTCCGGGACTACGCCCGGCCGTTTCCCCTAGCAGCAAGCTCAATGATGTCCCAGTGTGTCCAATGTCTTTTGCCGGTGGTCGAGTCGCCGGGTTTTCGCTTAAATAAGGCGCGGTGGTCGGTGACTTAGCGGGGGATGGAGCCAAGTCGCAACGGCATGAAGCAGCCGAACGTCGTCCAAAATTTTGGCCTCGCTACTTGCCAAGACTTGGGATTCCGGGGTCATGGTGGAAGTGGGTCCTCAGCCCCAAGCATCTCTCTCCATGTGAAGTCAGCCTCGCGCCCTCACCACCCCACTCCCCCACCTCTTCCCGCGCCCTGACAGCCGACTCCAGGACCCCGTCCAGGCCTCCTTCTCGGGCTTTCCTCTAGATCAACCTTCTACTTTGACATTTTTTGAACTCTCTTTAGCCCAACCCTCGCCTCGAACCTGCCTATGGCTTGGTTGTCCGTTAAACACTTTACATCTCTCTCCATACGCCACTGTGTTAACGCACCTCTATTGTTTTGGTTTTGTCGGGACCACTGATGAGATAACTCGCAAAAAGTCGGCTGATTTCACCACGTCCAGAGCAGAACCTCTTTCTGGTCTTTCAATGTCTGAAATATCTTTTAACTCATCGAATTTGTGAAGGATCTGCATAGTAATTCATGAAAACAAAAGCCCCAGCCTTAACTTATATATCGTGTCGAATGACTTGTCTGCTGTAGTTCAACTCCTCCGAGATTCGCTGATAAAAGCACCTCAATTGAAGGTTGATGAGGAGGGTGCTTGGTTTCATCTGTGGACCATCGAGATGCCCGGCTTTGTTTTTTCAGGAGCTTCTGATCGGGGGCTTGGGCGAGAATGAAAAATCCAGCTAAATCGGTTGATCCAGCAGAATAGTTAAGAAAAGAAGGGTTGATACTGAAAACTCACAGCTTAACAAGCAAAGTGGCTTATTCACCCTTTTAAATCGAGCCATTACCAGGGTAATTGGAAGTGTTTGGAGAAACGTAGAAAGGCCAAGGGAAGAAAAAGAAAGCGGGACTCGGTATCATCAGATGAAGATATGGAATGGTAAATGCGTCTAGTCAGATAATCCCGGCTTAAAAGATATACGGGGACATCAACTTCCGGTCGGAATGCTCGACTTCTAGATATTTATAAGTGTTGGTTTATGTTTCCAAAAAAAAACTGGGTTAATATTTCCAGCTTGTTCCTTTCTTTTTGAGCCACGATTATCATAGGTAGCGTTTATGTTTATACTTCGTTATTGCCACTCACTCCGGGTCGCTCTCCCTGCTTATATCGTTGGAGCGAATCCTCTATGGCTGGTTGGTGAACAGAAAGACCGATATGTGAGGGTTTTCCTGTGTGTTGGATAGAAAGATAATTTGATGGGGCAGATGTCGGCCTTTCAGGAGATGGAATAGGTGGATTTTTTTTTTTTTACAGATACGGTCCATAAAAAGGAACCATCCATTTCGAGATTGTTAAGTAGGATGGGCATGTTCAATCGCGAAAATTGCTTACTATTACAATGACCAAGTAATCATGTAAACGCACAAAAAAAGTTAGGCAAACTCTTGATGATGGAACAGGATAATACGACTAGGTATTACCTATGAACTCAACTCCTACTCATCTCTCCCCATCATCTCCTCGCATATAGTAGCCCCTAAACCAAATAAACCGCATACCTAACGTAACACAAGCTAACAATTCAACGCCATGCCATGCCATGCCATGTAATCCAGCAGTCCTTCCTGTCCAGCAAGAAACCCAATGAAGCTCCCTCCTTTCCAGAGCATAAGTAACAATACTTAGCAGGGAGGGATCTGAAACTAACAGTTCGCCCCTTGACCAGCATCCTTGTCTCAGCTAACGTAAGGAATATAAATATAATCATACCATCACCCACCCAGTAACACGCCCATTCAGGACAAATACTCTCAAACAACTCCATTTTTCAAGCCACAGGCGCACCCGGGGCAGCAGGTACTGCCTCAACGGCAACATGCAACCCCTTCTCAGCCGGTTCCCCCTCACCCCCCGTCGCGGTCCCCGCAACAGCAGCCGCAGCCGCAGCAACCAACCTCGCCTTCCTCCTCGGAGGCGGGATCTTAGGCGGCTGCTTCTTCACCGGCACCGGCGCCCCAGTCGGTGCCCCTGCATCCGCCGCCCCGGTCCCATTCACACTCGTCTGCGTCTCCTGTCCTTGACCCTGCTGAGGACTAGCTAATCTCAGGGTATGCGGCGGCGGCGGGGGCGGCGGAGGCGGTGTTTTGACGACTGGCACGCCGTGTCTGTGCCTTGGGACTTCAGGGAGGGACTTTTGCGTTCGGAGAACCCGTCTAGGGGGCGGTACGCGGGGAGGGCTACCTTCGGGCCGGGGCTCCTTCTCTTGGGACCGGGGTCTGAAATCGGGCTGTGTCTGGTGGATGGTGGCTGCTTGAACCCCGAGCTTTTCGGTCGCGCTGGCGACCACGCTGACTGTACTCCCTGCCTGGGAGTGCTGGTCTAGGCTGTCTGTTGGACTTGCTGCGGTAGGTGAAGTAGGCGCCGGCGGCGGTTCGACTTTGTCGATAAGCCAGGGTACGCTGGCGACGCGCTCGACAAGGCGCAGTGTCGTTGGTTCAGGGGGCGCAAAATGTGCTGAGTTGTCCGATCCTCGAAGGATGTTGAGCAAGCTGATGATCTGGTCACGTTTGTAGTAAGGGTGACTGTTGAGCTGGGTATACCGTAGGAGCGGGTGCAAAACGCGCAGATATGTGTGGCGGAGGGTAGTCTCTTCTGGAGACAGGTCGAGGAGTTTGCGGATGATGACGTCCAGGAGGACTTTCAAATCGTTGGTGTAGAAATACTCGCGAGTCTTGGGGGTTGTGAAGAGGAGGTAGAGCAGTTTGAGAATGAGGAGTTGTTGGGACTTTTCGCGCTCGCGATTGAGAAGGAGGATGATGTTGCCGCCGAAGGTTGGGTAGGAGGACCCGGCGGTGATGAGGACCTTGATGACGCGGTTTGTCATGAGCGCCGGGGCTGAGCTTGCGTCAACCGCAGCTGTTGCATCAGCTATCATGTATTGCTCGTTCAACACCAGCTGTTATATGTTAGTATTCCTGCACTCTCAACGCCAAGGGAGCCACTCACCAAGACCCATATCACCGCATAATGGTACGGGTCGCTAGCATCATCTGACAGCGACTCAATAATCTGGAACAGGTACGTAACGAAGTCATCGTCCACCTGCAGCAGGTCCTCTGTCCTGAGATGCTCGATCCGCACCATCTCATACATCAGCTGCAACAACAACCTATGCAGCCGGACATCCTGCTCCCCACAACTCCGAATCAACTCCAATAGCCTCACAAAACAACCCTCGCTAATCATGCGCCGGAAGGTACCCTCCTCGGCGCGACCGTCCAGCAGCAGGAAATTGGCAATGACGTGTAGGCGCGCGAGCTTGTCCTCCTGCAACAGAGTGTAGATCAACTGAGTACGCACGTAGTCGGCATTGTCGCGAAAGATGGGACTGCCCAGCAGGCCCTGAGAACAGCGAGCAATGTTATCCTCGCTCTCGAGGTACTTGTTGCGGGCTTGGGCTACCAGTTGTAGCCAGGAGCGCAGCGCATTATCGAGCTGCTCGGCGGTTTGGTAGGGGGAGGAGAGGATCTCGGCAAGCGCTGGGACAGCCTGTCAGTACATAAAAGCAGGACTGAAAGATATAGGGGTTTAGCTCACAGTCCCAAAATTGCTGCTCGCTTTCAGCAGACCAACCCTCCGACGAGTCGGCCATGGCCGCCATGCAAGAATTATTATGCTCTCAGACGGACAGCGCTAGTACTAGCGAAGGAGGAAGGGGGGTTACACTTTTATTAGGCATCACGATGATCCGGTGCATGTGCTGCTGTTGCGGTGGGCGCACTCCCTCAACACAGGCATTTGTAAAGATTTGAAGCGCGGTAGATCCTCAGATCGAATCGCGCGTGTCTTTGATAGCGGTCGCAGCACGAGTCGCAGCGGTCTTCTTGTTTTCCTTTTTCCCCTCTTGGAGGTCAGTCTGTCGCTATCGTTTAACCGCAATAATCGGTCGTCTTCTACGCAGCTGAGGTCTTGCCATGTGCCCAGCGCGCAGGTCTGCAAGGCATCCTGGAAGCCTGTGAGAGACTGTCTTGCCCTCGCCGCTGCTCTTCGGCCCGTCTGCCTTCCGCCCTTCGCCGCTTCTCTGCGGGTGTTGAATGGGCGCTTGGAGGGGCTGGGCTGTGCTGCAGCCAATGAAACTGGCGGGCATCTGGCGGGTTTTCAACATCGGGAAGCTTGATCGTGCTTGGGCTTGGTTTTGAGTGCACGGACCAAGACCCCACCTGGCCAACATGACGTCGATCAGGACCTCGACCTTTCTTTGGTCAAGCTGCTTCTCGAAATCCGAAGTCCTTGAATCTTGGTTTCAATCTCACCGCTCTAAGGGTTTGTTGAGAATAACTTTCATCTGATCTTATTTCTTTTTAGATGAAAGGCAACAAATAAGACTCTACACTACTTCAATTTATTACTCCACTTGGGTATATTCTTGCGTTTCATCGGCCACAGTTCCCACTGTATCTATTCTTTTCTCATCCTTGCTCCAAGGTGTACAATTTGTGCGAGTTATGCAACACGCTTCACCCGATTCTTACTGAGCTCTTGTCTCATATGTCATTGAAGCTCGTATAAAGCGGATATCTCTAGCATTAGTTGATTATAATGAAAAAAAAATGGGTATCAATAGAAATTACCATAGATATCAAAAGAGCGTCCCTGGGTCTAGCATCTGTGTTTTTCCCCAGACTCCTATCCCGATCTATCAACTTCTGAAGGAAATGACCTCCAACGCCTGGCAACAGACGACCTCCATCTCCAGTAATTTACACACAAAACACCCATCTAGTACTCATCCTCTTCATACACTTTCGCCCTGGCGGCATAGTCCTTGATGTTACTCACCACATGATCGCGGATGGTATGCCCCTGTCCGGCCGCAATCCTCAGAATAAACTCATTCAGGTTCTGCCGCCCCAGGATATCCACATGATCTGCAGTATTTGGGCCGCCACGCGGGTTAAACCTCTCCGGCTCGTGGGGCATCTCAACGACCGTGATCTTCACGCCTGCCGGGTTGTACCGCTTGATCTTCCATCCACGATTACACATGAACCCAGTGCTCATGAGATTCACAGTGCCATCACCCTCGCCCATGACAACACCGTGATCAACCATCCCGCTGGCCGTCGTCACAGCCGTGTCGATCGTCATGTTGAGCGTTGTGCCCGACCCAGGCTCCGGCGACCGGTAAAAGTACCCGCGCTCAGTGGGCTTGCCCACACCGTAGAAGCAATAAATCTTTAGACTCGGCGCAAGCGGCAGGCGCGTCTCAAGCGGATTGATCCACTTCCGTGGATCGTGCTCGTTGGCTGCGACCTCAGCCTCTGTGCGCGCAATACCCCACGAGTAGCTGCGCTTGACCTGGTCGACCCACCACGGCTCGGCAGTCTCGAAGAGGTAGTTCATGGCGTCCTCGACAGTGAAGTTGCGGCGCGGGACGGTGAAATTCTGGTCTGTGCGGAAGTTGAGGAACGAGCCGAAGCTGTGTTCCTGACCCGGACGGTCATCCGGTGCCCAGTCAAGGTCGCCCCAGATTGCGTTGCCGCCGATTGGAAGCATCGATGAGATACCGGGCATGGCGCGGAAGATTTCGGCGCGCTCGGCTTTGGAGAGGAACTTCTCGAGGCCGTAGACCGCGAAGGCGTTTAGTTGGGCCGTGTCGCGCATCTCGCCTGAGAGCACGGCTGAGATGTCCTTTGCAGCGCCAAGCATGCATCCGCTGACGTTGATCCAGGATTCGATGTGGTTTTCGACCCAGTCATCGCCGCCCTTACCTCCCTGATCCGAAGCAACCCAATGAAAGAAATAGAAGACTACCTGACTGCCCATGCTGTGCGAGGTGAGCACAACCTTGCGGTTCTGCAGTCTCACGGCCATCTCGATGTGGGCTTTCAATCGGGAAAAGTAGTGATCGCGCGTCTCGAGGTCGCGGTAGGCCAAGCGCCAGTCGTATGCGGCCGTGTACGAGTTGATCGGGTCGTAGCCCAGCGACGCCAGGTTCTCGACAATCTTGTTCCATATCCAATAGCCCGTGATGAAGAAGTCCGTCGCATCAAAGCCCTGCGCCGCGCGCAGCTTGATTCCCGGGGGGTCGAGACCCGTCTTTTTATCCAACATGATGTGCCTCTTCCAGCCCTCCTTGTCCATCACCAGCGCGCGCATCATGCTCCAACTGCCCCAGAGCCGCTTGCGAAAGTACGGCAGCGAGGCATTCGTAATGCCCCATGACTCCAGACCAGTCGAGATCACACCTGGCACCATCACCATGGGATGGTAGGCCGACAACCCCTCCGAGCGGACCTTCAGCCCGACCGCAAATGAGTCGTAACTCTCCAAAAATGCGCGTTCTCCGACAATCAGATCCCTCATGTCCTTTACCAGCCCGGCGGGCAGCACATCCAGCAGATTGTCCATGCTCAGCTCCCCGAACTCGGGGAAGTCGATCAAGTCGTTGCTCTTGGCGAAGAAGCCTGCGGCGATGATGCCGAACAGACTGCCCAGCAAGAAGATGCCGGTAAACTTGCGCTTGCGGGCCTTTGGTCGGTGGTGTCCATGGCTGCTGCTGTTGGGCTTGAAGGTCGGATCGTTGGCTTCTCGCGAGGAGCTCCCGCCGCGGGGCGTAGGTGTCGGGGCGGGTGTTGTCTCGGATGGTGTATCGTTGCCGGTCGGGCCTCGGCGGCGTAGTGAATTGGCCATCCCGAGGCTGACCAGTGCAGTAGCGTAGGTGCTTTGTCTTCGACAGAGAGTTGAAGGAGCTCAGGAGTTCGGCGCGGGTGATGTTACGCGTGTGTATGCAAGCGAGTCGAGAAGCGGGGGTCTGTGATAGGCGTGAATGGTCTCAATCTCAATATCGATCGATGGGTCGATCAATCGAAAGCATGGAGAGGAGGGGCTCTTCTTCCCGTCTGCATCTGTGTCTGCGTCTGCGTCTGCGTCGGGCAGCCTGGCAATTAGCTGCGGCAGGTGATGCTCTGTCCTTTCATACCCGATGGGCGATGACGTGACGACGCAAGCGGGCAGCAGGGTAAAACAGGCGGTCGGCGTCGTTGATCCAACGTTCTGTTGGTGTCTGTCGGGAAACGGAAGAGCAATTTTAGCTCCTGTCAAAAGCAGCAGCACGACACGCCTGGTGACGTCGGCCGCTCCACGCGCCAAGCTGCCCCACGGCAAGCATTGTACAAGGACCTTGAGCCTTTCAAGACAGTTTGAAATATGTCAACACATGACGGTAGGAAGTCAATTTCCTAAACATACTGATATGAAGGATATGTTAGAGACGGTATTCTGCTTGTTTGCATAGAATCCATAACGATTTAGGAACTGTCTTGGTCAAGCTAGTGTCGGAGCTGAGGTCTGTGGTACACGGAGCTGTGGTCAGGGTTGCAGCGGCCAGCAGCGGGCTCCACTGGGTTCCATGCGGTTGCATGTGAAAGTTGGATGACCAGACCCAAGCTGGCAAACCCTGAGCGCAGTCGGACCTCCGACCGCATCCGTGACTGAGTAGACATTCCCCTTAAGCTCCCTATTTCTTCTCTTTGCTGACCAAGTATTTCACTATTTTCGTCCAATTTTCTGCACAGCTGACCAAGCATCATCAGCGCGAACATCCCTCAGTCTCCCCTATCCTACCTTCACCCCGTAGCTACCCGCGACAAGCCGTTCACGAAGCTCACGAAACCCCTGAGAAAACGACCATGGCGACGACAGAGCGCAAACCTCTTCCCAGCGACCTCAAGTACATCCAGTACGAGCACTCACTAGAAGAGCGCTACCTGCCCGCCATTCGCGCACTCATCTCCAAAGATCTCAGCGAACCCTATAGCATTTACGTCTACCGGTACTTCCTCTATCAATGGGGGCACCTCTGCTTCATGGTACTACTTGCCTCCCTGTTATTCTCCCGCCAATACTTTTCTCCTGCTTCTCCAAACACATGACGCGGCGCCGGGCTGATTTTTCTTCTCCTTGCCCCGACACAGGCACTCGACCCCTCAACAGACGCCCTCATCGGCGTGATAATCTGCAAGCTCGAGATGCACCAATCACACTCGCCCGCCACACTACGAGGGTACATCGCCATGCTAGCCGTCGAGGCAGCATACCGCGGGCAGGGCGTGGCCACAGCGTTGGTAAAAATGGCCATTGACGCCATGGCACGCCGCAGGGCCGACGAGATCGTGCTCGAGACGGAGGAGACGAATATCCCTGCTATGCGGCTATACGAGAGGCTTGGGTTCTTACGATCGAAGAAGCTGCACCGGTATTATTTGAACGGGAATAGTGCCTATAGGTTGGTGCTGCCGCTCAAGTCGGGGGTGTATAGTCGGGGCGTGGGGGGCTTCGGGCCGGACGGGAGCGATCTCTATGGTGCGATTGGGGAGGTGGCGTGATGTTATCACCGGATACTTGGGCTTGATGTTTTGTGGGAACAGCCTACCATTGGATCTGGGACGGAGTGTATGCTTGCTGCTTCACTAGGGGAAATGACTGGCTCCTAGCGGGTTCTGGAAGCTCGGGAAAGTTCGTCGGTGAAGGCGGCACAAGCATCCACTGAGGGGTTGATTAGAAGTCTCACTTGATGGGACGCAAGGTTATCGATCTGAAAGGCGATTCTTAGCGTCCGGTCTGTTTTTTGGACCAAAGGTTCAGCATGCTGCCTGACATATGTCGGCATCCTAACTTAGCTCATATACAGAGTGGCAGATATCTAAGGTTAGATACGGCAGGAGTTATAATGGCAAATACCCAACTCCTAATAACAAACAAATAGCTATTAACTGTATAAGAAATATTTTCCTAGACTAGAAACGACTCTATCCCTTTTTTTTCTGTCAATTATATGGGGTGTAACCTACCTAAGCAGAATATGTCGGTACATTTGGAGTATCGCAAATTATGATTCAAGTTGCGCGGTCAATCGAGATCTCTTTAAAGATAGAGCGGACTAAATGCGCGTGCAGTCGTGGTCTGCATTACTCAAGCATCCACACAGAGAAACGACATAAATGTTCTATGCGCCTGGCGTGGTCCAAGATCAAAATTATTGAAGTCGTCTATCCACCTAGGAATCCCCAAATCACAGTAACAACCAACAGCAACCAGCGAGAACAAGTCAGGGTTTCCGTGGACGCTTTGCTCTTAGGTACGAGAGTATTTGTCCAGAGGAGTACTGTGCCTAGTCAGCTGAGGGTCATATGCCAGCCCTCTGTTGCGAAACTTACCAGCGAAGCTTGAATACCCCAGGTATTACCGCTGTAGATGTTAAGTTCGGTCCATGCCTCTGAAGGCATAGTTAGCCATACTCTCCTTTGAATCCAGTTCAACGAACTTACCACTCTTGTAATAAATCTGCTTCCCCGACTTGACCAACCCCAACCCCCTCAGCCCTTCCAGTACCCTCGCCACATCCTCCTTATCCCTGAAATCCTTTGTATATATACAAATCAATCGCGGCTTCCCCTTATCGATCTTCGTTTCAACCTTTGCCGCGATCCCCAATTCTCCAGCAACCGTCGCCTGCACAACCTTTCTCCATACCTCATCCACATCGTTCTCCTCAGGGAACAGCATCCACTTCCCCGCCAAAATGCCACATTCAACCGCCAGCTCAGTTAAATCCTGCACCGTCTCCTTCTTCTCCCTCTCTACTTCCCTTTGAACAACCGTCAAATCAGGCGGTTTCCCCCTCCCAGAAGAGGACAACGACGAATCATCTTGCTGAAGAGCCTTGATCGCCATGTCTTGAAACTTCTCAAACAGCTTCAAGCGTTCCTGTCCCCCGCGTCGGAAGAGCTGAAGCGCACCAGGGGCATGGTACCGGGACGCGGTGTGCGGGTTTGCGACGAATATCCATTCCAGTCCTGGACGCCAATCTGTTGTTGAGGGCGGTAGACGGGAGAGGAAGTCAGAGATGGGCTCGTGGAGTTGCCAGGCGTTGGGGAGGCCAGCGTAGGGGTTGTGGAGGGAGCTGCTGGGCTGGGAGGGTTGGCTGGACGGGGATGGTTTTGTAGGGGTTGATTGGGACGGCGTGAGGTGGCCATTGCGAGCCCACCAGGCAAGGGGGTCGAAGGAGGAGACGCGGCGTTGGAGGGCGGTAATGGTTTCTTCGTCGCCTGGAATCGTGTTAGTCGGTTGGGGTGAGGATGGTTTGGTTGTGGGAGGGGTTGCACCGTAAAAGTCTGAGTCGGAGTCCATTACTGAAGAATTAAAGTGCCTGAGGTTCAGGCTGTTGGTGTCAGGCTTGGGAGCTGTCGTTTCTTTGAGATATTTCAAGGTCTTTGTGAAGTCGGTATGCTTGCTTTTTCCTGATCAGCTTGAACAAAGGTTAGTGAGGTGCGACCTGCTCTCCTCAGCTTGTGTGATGCTTTGGTCATATTGATACTAGATCATAACATTTAAAAATTCATACACTCACTTTTTTTTTTTTTCGAGATTTCACCGTATATTGTAAGGTTTGTCTCTCCGTTTCTCTCACCGTTGAAGTTTGGGTTGGGATATGTTGGTCTTGGCGGTGTTGAAGGAAGGACCAATCCGAGGGGCTGATGAGCCTTAAAAAAGCAGGCGAGGACCGTGAGGTCCGGCTCATCCCGCAAAGAGAAATGCAACAAATTGGAACTGTTGCCTGTCAACAACGAATCGCAGAGGCATTGTACAATTTATTTTCAATGTTGACTTACTGAATTTTGACTTAGACAAGCAGGCTTAAAAGTCATAGTGGCTTCAGCTGATAATGGCAGACGAAGGCCAACTGGTCACTTCAATAAAGAGGGCCGAGCTGGACCTTCCTCCCAGCTGCATCGAGTTCTGTCCAGCTTTTCCTTCATATTTCGTTGTTGGAACATACTCGCTTCAGCCAGATGGCTCTGGGAACGACAATGGGCAGGGAGGAGAAGAAGAGATTGGAGAGCGCCAGGAGCGGGCTCGACAGCCCCAGAGTCGCAAGGGCAGCATTATCCTCTTTCGATTGATCGAGGGAGAGTTGTAAGTCTCGGAACAAGAACCCCTTTTCTGCAAGTTTTGCTAATGTGCTCTTCAGAACAAAATTATACACGGAGCAATATCCCTCCGCTGTCCTGGACCTGCGATTTAGCCCTCATCAGTTTTGTCGCGATATTTTCGCTGTCGTCTCTAGTACAGCTACTGTGTCTCTCTATCGCGTAGTCTACGGTTCCGCTGCGCGACTAAGACACCTCAGGATGCTTGATATTGTGTCCATGTCCAAGGGTGCAATAACCCCAGAGCTCGGTTCAGAAATCATCTTCACCTCCTTCAGCTGGCACTCAACACGGACGGATGTCCTGGCCATCAGCTCAACACCTGGTCAGGTGTATATCGTGCGACTACCGCCATTGAACAAGCTTCCAGCTGCAATGGACGAACCACCTGCGCCAGGAGAGTGGCATCTCTACGAGGAGCCCGTCCTCACACATACTCTAGAGAGCTGGACCGTGGTGATCTCACCGTCCATGGGTTTGCCGGTACTCGGCCAAGCGGACGAGGGAGATTATTTCTGCAGGGTTTACTCTGGAGGAGACGACTCTATGCTTCGCTACCGCACCTGCAAGTGGGACAAAGATGGCAACTTCTCTGCCGACCTTCCAGCGATCGAGTCTAGAGGCCACGACGCTGGCGTTACGGCCATTCTCCCGCTGTTTTTTGCGGATGACGGCCGGGAGTTAGTGGTCACTGGAAGCTACGACGAGCATATCAGGCTGTTTGCGGTACCGGTGTTTGGGAAGGCAGTGAACCTCGCGAAGAGCTGTTTAGGTGGAGGTGTGTGGCGCTTGAACCTCATCAACCTGAAGAAAGAGCCAAAGAAGGGGGAGTACCGCTGGCGGGCAAGCATCCTGGCATCGTGCATGCATGCTGGGGCCAGGATAGTCGAGCTACGGCAAACAGAGGGTGGGGAGTATCAGTTCCGAGTGCTTGTGCGTTTTGAGGAGCACAAGAGCATGAACTATGGCAGTGACATCACCCCGGACAAGTGGAGGGAGAAATTGCCGGTTGTGTCGACGAGCTTTTATGACAAACTACTCTGTGTGTGGGAGATTCATAGGGACATTATTTGACACAGCAAACCACAAAAACTGTAGACTTGAAGATTGGTAGACATGATTAGAATTAGAAGAACCCCCGCGTTCGCTGCGAACCGGAGCTTATCGATAAATGATTAATATCCTATGATAAGCCTGAGTGCCAAGACATGTGACGCAATGCCCAGAGGACGACTTCACCGCTTCGTGCACAGGCCAAGTCGTCCTTAGATGCTACCCCGCGCTAAACCAAACAAAAATTTGGGCGAGGTTCGCGCCTAAAGCGCGCCTTAACGCCTGAAGTGGAAGGCATTTCGTTGCTGGAGCGTTTGTGAAGGTGGGTATGGTTGCCAGGCCACCGTTTATTTGCTATACGCCGGGTCTGCACCCAATTTGTCCCGTCGCTACCAGACAAACTTCTAGACCTTTACACCAAGCAGCTGGTCGCGAGCTCGCCCTCTGCCGGTGGGATCCTCGAGCTGTACATATTGCTGCCAAGGCCGGGGCTCTTACATAGTATTGTTCGCGGGCGTGCCTCAAAGGACGGGGTTGCGGGCAAAGCAAGCATCCAGCTGGAGCTTGTTCGACTCCAGGGCATCCACTTCCTGGTTCCATTGTTCTAGAAGGCGCATGCTCCCTGTTCCCTGGCTCTCTGGAGTCGCTGTTTTGTGACCTGACAAGAAACAAGCGCAGCGACCTGAGCGGGCACCGTGTCTCCCCTCCGAGATCACCTCACCGACAATAGCTTGTTTACTACCTGTGAAACACGCAGCAGAACAGAAGACTCCCTTTTCTCACCAACCCATTCGGCCTATTTGGGCATTCTGCAACTACCAAGATCGAGTTTGCGCGTATCAGCATCGCCCCTGCTGCTCCTTTGACCGCAGACCGCCTGCCTTTTGCCAATTGAATGATCCACGCCCAAGCACTTGACTTTGCCGCAGCGGTACGAGGTCCGGACTCGACATCCCATCCCTTCGACATCGCTCATACCATTCTATAACTCCATCGCCCCGTCTCTGCCCCTCCGTCAGGGCAAAGGGACTTGAGCCAACCTCGTCACACTTGCTTGCTCATAGCGCTGATTCAATCTAAGCATCAGCCATGGCTTCGACAATACCGCTGAACGGAGTGGCTGGTGCTGCTGCTTCCGGCAATGGCGGCGGCGACGCCATCCTCAAGATCCACGAGGCCCTCAAGATCGTCTATAGCCCGCAGTCGACCAACCAGGCCCGACAAGAGGCCCAGGCCTTCCTCGAGAGCGTTAAGTCGCTGCCAGAGGCGCCCGAGCATGGCTTCAACCTCGCCTTCAACCAACAAGATCCGATCGTGCGTCACTACGGTCTCTCTCTGCTCGAGCATGCCGTCAAGCATCGATGGGCCGACTACACTCCCGAGCTTCAAGAATGTCTGCGCAACTACATGCTGCGCCTGACCAAGGCGATCACCGATCGCGATCCACTGTACTTGCGGAACAAGATTGCCCAGCTATGGGTTGAGATTGCGAAGCGCGCCTGGGGTGCTAGCTGGTTGGATATGGACGCCATGTTGGTGCACCTCTGGCAACTACCTGGCTTCGTGCACAAGCTGTTTGTCCTCAAGGTCCTCGAGTCCCTTTCCGAGGACATTTTCAACAGCGATGACGTCGTTGTCGCCCTGCGTGAGGGGGCCCTTAGCAAGGCCTGCGTCGAGATCTTTACTCCGGCGGCCATCCTGTCCGAAGAGTTCCCCAACCGTCAAAAGAACCCCGAGGTGCGCTTCCAGGCTGAAGGGTGGCTACCGAGAATAACACAGTTTATTGGCGAGTGCCTCAGTGCTGGTGTGCAGAGCGAGGACGTTGCTGCGTGCGCAGCCAAGGCACTCAACGTCCTCACCTCGGTCATTCCTTGGGTTATCCCCAAGGCCATCAGCGCTGTTAACGGTCGCGGCGTCATGTGCAGCTGTTTGGCGACGTCCAGCGTCCCCGTGCAGAAGGCGGCTCTCGAAGCGCTGTACGCGCTGTACAGCCGTTCGAATTATACAGAAGAGGAATTTGTGGATCTGGTCGTCCCCATGTACGGCCCAGAAGCGGTTGACCTGTGCCGGCGCCTCTACGAGTGGTCGACAGTCGACGCCCACGACATTGATGAGGACAAGTATCAGTTTGCTAAGAAGTTTTCTGAAATGCTTTGCTGCCTAGGTAACTACCTGGACCGCAAGTTCACCGCCATCCCTGTCGGGACCAATGTTCAAGGCTTCCTAGAACTGCTGATGTTGGTCGTTCAGAGCCAGAGCCTGGTTGTATCCATCCCTATCCTTCTTACCTGGACGCGTATCCTCTCCCATCGCGCGCTTGGTCCTGCTGCTGTCGAGATGCCTTTCATCGGCAATCTCTTGGAGCTTTGCAGCAATCGCCTCCTGCGGTACGAGTGGCTGCCGGAAGATACTGAGGACCCAATCTACGTTCTCCTGAATGAGGATACCGACACTGTTCCCGAGCGCCACGCCTTCCTGGGAAACTACAGACGGTACTGCTGCTCGGTAATCGAGAGCATTGTTAACCTGCAGTTGCAAGGCGCATTTACGGTTATCTTGAATCGGGCAGAGCATGCGCTGAATACCCTTTATGATGGACAGCCTCCTCTTAGCCGTGAGTGTCCTGATCTTGCCTTGAGAGATGACACATCTGACGGTCATGTAGCCGCCAACTACCAGAAGAACTCCATGCCCGTGTTGACGGTCGACTGCCATGCGACTGTCATCGAGGCCGCTCTGAAGGGCTATGACAAGTGGAAGCTCTCGCGGAATCGAACGGATGAGGATGTACGTTCCACATTATCCTCTCCCAAAGAGTCACGCTAACAAAAAGCAGAAGCAGACTTCTGCCGCGTTAGACCAGTACCTGGAGAAATGGTGCACCCAGCTTCTGGCGATGAAGTTTGAGGTTAGGACTTCCCTTCCTTCAAATCTTAACAACGCTAATCATCCCAGGATCCTCAAATCCGCAAGAGGATACTTCAACTGCTGGTCAACTTCTCGACCCGTGCTCTTGAGTCGAACCCCTCGTTCATGCTTAAGGTGCTAGAGCATATACTCATGACGTGGCCGGCGCCCCAGCCCGAGTATCGCGTGTACAACGACGCCATCAAGGATTTGCAGACAGAGAGTATGGTTGAGCTGCAACGACTGGCGTCTAAGATGCCCGACCCTCTGCTGGTAAGGGAATCCATATCTATCTGTTGACAGGGATGCTGATGTGGAGCAGGATGTCTACGATCAACTCGAGGCCAAGGTTAAGGAAATGATCGCCTCAGGAACGCTGGACGAAAAGAGGCAGATTGCATATCAGAGCTTTCTATTTATCATCATGTAAGTTTCTGAGACCGACCCTCACTCAGGATTGCGCTGACAGACCAGTCACCGTGCCACGCGCATCGACCAGGAGGTGCGCCTGCAGCGTCTCAATGCATTTATCGAGCCGGTCAAGAACCAGTGGAGGGATGAAGCACTCAAGCAAGCGCTCAGCTCGTACGAGGGCTTCTGCCAACTGCTGGGTCTGGATAAGGTGCAGAAGTACATTGCGCAGCGCCAGATTCACCAAATTACCGATTGGGGCGAAGTCGATCTTGATGCTGAGGGGTTGGCACTGCAGGCCGAGCTGGAACAGCGGCAGACGGTAGGCAATTCAGGATTCCCACCATGAGAGAAGGGAAGGCTAACGAGAGCAGATGCTCCCACTCCGGGTGACCAAGTCGTTCTTGACATACTCGGTCGAGAGGTTGGAGAAGAACTCGCCTCCTTACCAGGCGTCATGCTTGCTGTGGAAAGATGGCTTCCCGCTCATCCTGCCGGAGCTTCTCAAGTTCTTGAGGTGTGTATAGCTCTGGACAGCCATAGTTTAACGATTTACTAACTGTCTACAGCTATGCCCATGCCAGCCACAGCCCCAGTAACTGGACGCTGCTCCCAGCCGAGATGCAAGGAGTTGTCCATCGCGTGCTGGCAGACCGCTTCTGGCAAGCCGGCATCTCGGAGGGCAGCAAGGACGACTTCTACGCGCGTGTGCTCGGCAAGAAGAACACTCTCGAAGGCTTGGCGTCATCCATCCGTGGTGCCGTCCGCTTTGTCCGTGAAACGTGCTACGCCATTCTCTACTGCATGACACGCCTTGATACACACTTCTACGGCTTCCTCGAGCTGCCTAACCCCCTGGCCGAGGCCCTCTTCGCCGACTCCCTGTACCTGTCATCTCACCAGGTGATCAACTTGCTGACGTTGTCACGGTTCCTGGTCGATCATTGCCCTCTGCCGCTAAGGGAGCACTTCCTGCCGCCGATCCTGGCGACCTGCTTCCGGCAAATGGATGCCAAGATCAGCTCGGAGTGGGAGAAGCTTGGCCAGAGAGAGACCGTCCAGGCTGCGGGAGAGGAGCTGACCGAGGAAATGAAGGCCGAGAGTATTTTGCGCCAGCTGACTTACTCGGCTGTAGTCATGGTCGCAGACGTGCTGGACCCTGCTCGGCCGGAGGGTCCGTCCGGCGAGGCAGAGGGATTGGAGTCTCCGGCCGTCCCACCCGGCAAGTTCCCCCCGCTCCGCAAATTCTGCCTCATGAACCCGAGCATTGCGGTCCCGCTTCTCGTGTTCTGCTCCCATGCGATCCGCATGCACGACGGCCGCTGCTGCGGCGTGGTCCTGCGCGTCTTCAGGTCCATCATTCCCGAGTTCAGCACGCCCGAGATCGCGAAGCTACATCACAAGGAGCATCATCACCATTTCTCAGGGTCTACGGGCACAACCGCGGCAGCTGGCGCCCCTTTCTCAGACGGCTTCGCCATCCCCGCCGCGACGGCCCACGAAATCCGCGAGTTTATCTGCACCGAGGTCCTCAAGGCAGCCATCCAGTCCCTGCACGACCCGTACTTTGTTGACTCCCAAAAGGAAATCGGCGCCCTCATCGCCGCCATCCTGGCCTACTACGCCCCGCTGACTCCTACGCCCCGAGCGATCTTGTTATCTCTGCCGAGCGTTAAGCCCGCTGAGGTGGACAGGACGATTGAGTATGTGTGCAAGGGTGGGGTGAGCTCCCGGCACCAGAGGGCGATGGTGTTGGAGCTGTTAGAGGAGTTAAAGGGTGTTAGTGTGGCCGAGATGGGTAAGCTGGAGAAGAGTGGGGCTAGCAAGAAGAAGGGTCGGAGTAAGATGGCGCAGGAGTTTATGACGCCTGGTGGTGGGCAGCAACCTGGTGGGCAGGTCGGAGGTGCCTCGGGACAGAGGGAGAAGACGCCTGATTTGGAGGGAGTTGCGGGAATGTTCAACGAGGGTTGAGTGGTCTAGATATTCTATGGGTCGGGGAGGTGATGGGAGCTCGGTTGAGGGAGAAATATTGGGGTAAGGAAGGTAATAGATCGGATTCGAGAGGGGTTTGCAGTTGAGGGTACGGCTCACTTTTGCTGGGGAGTATAGTGGGATATCTTGCTCAGGGGCATGAAGTCCCCTCAGTTGCTGGATCTCGGGGGGTTACACTAGGAAAGCGGTCTCCAGAAAAGAAAAAAGATAATGGATGGATTAAGAGATGGATTTGCATACCCCGTTGCTCATCGGGCTCTGTTGACCGATTGGATGGAAAGGGGAGATGCATTGTTGATCAATTCAGCAGCCGGGGAAGAGGATAACCATCAGCTAGCCAATTAGGGTGTTTTGTCGCCACTTTTGGAAGATCAGATGAAGCAGGCCATGTCAGAGAAGTGAAGAGAGAGACAATGGGCACATAGTAAAGATGGATGGGACAGCGGCTTGGGCTAGTTAGCTGGTCAGGAATGGAAAAGGGATAGGGGTTGTTATGCCCAATGGGAGTTTCATCTGGCATTGGGGATGAAGAAGGCGTAGGTATACTATTTCGTATACTGTGGTATTAAGAGTCCAGTTCAGGGGCACGCTAGATGCGTTGACAAAAAGCATGGGATCCCGTGGCTAGCATCAATTAATTTGTTGAGAATACATACCACTTAGTTCTACTCAGTGATGTTCGCACCCGCAACAACTCATGGACTTATTTACTAAGAAGTAAGGCATCTTCATTACATGTACGTGATGACAGGCATGATGTTAATGGTAGCTTGATCCTATGCTCACTCTTCACGATACACTTGTCTGACATAGTACAGTGTAAGGCGAGGATGCAAAGGGCTCTGCTAACAAGCAAAGAGCTTTTTACTCGGACTGGGGGGTTGCGTTCCTTAACACCGGAATCTGGTTCTGACCAGATCGCAAAGGCGATCGGCTGTTTTGACGAGCTGTTTGCCCGGGATGAGAGGGCTCGGTCAAGCTTTGTTTAACGTTTTGGATTCTGTTTCCTGTAATATGGGCTCTGCACATCATCACGGCATCACCTTCGGCTTTTTTTAAAGTTTACAACAACCTTGATGGATAGGGCCGACTGGGTCCGTCAGTGTGCAAAGTAAACGCTGCAGTGTTGCACTGCAGCATGCTTCCATGGAAGCTAAACCGCAAACCACAGCCGTGAGATGCTTACTCCAAGGATCGAGAGTCTGAGCGCAAGTTGAAGTGCCGGAGCTGGAGATGTGCGTGGATTATGGTTGGATGCAACGTTCTCGGTGTCTCACACCCCTGGCTGGGCCACTGCAGACCGCTGTGAACGTGAAGGTTGCAGGTTCCATTGAGAAGTGAGTGGTCCCCGAGTTCTGGACGGCGTTTCATTCTCCCACACACTACGCTGCGGTGAGGTTTCGCTTGTATACAGCCTCATCGTCGTCGTGTCAAGCTTGGGAGATTCCAAATCTTCGAACCAAGATCACAGAACTCCCCCTCTTAACTTCTTCTTACCTTTTGCAGCGAGAGATATCGCCAAGTAATGTCCGAGCGTCCCCGACTAGCCCGAGGGGGTAATGTCTGGTTCCAATCGGGTGAAGCTCCGAAGCTTGGCACCTCGGTGTTATTATTATTTCAAGACTCGTTGAAGCCAAGACGCCAACTTCTCTTGACCCCCGAGACCCCGCTGTTTCCCCAGATGGACTCGGGCTGGTCCGGCCCACAGCAGAAGTCTCGTTGAGAACCTCCTCCTGCAGGGTCGAGAATGCGGCGTGATGCAGTGAAATCCACCAATCCTGTGTTTTCTCTGCTGTCAAGGGCCTGGGAGTGGCGCGTCCAGCTGCCCGCATGCCGATCAGGATCAGGATCAGAGTATGTGCGTGTATTGGGGAGCGTCGTGCTATTCCATGAGGCTGCTTTTAGTGCCATGGAGATATCCGAAGGCTGTTTCAATATGCTTTTTTGCATGGACTGGGTTAGGGCAAGGGGGGCGTATGGCCAGTGAGATTGTGAGGCTAAAGTGAGAAGAAAAGGGGGGGGCGCGGTTTAGAGTGTATGTACTGCGGGGAAGAAAGTCACACTCTTCAGCAAACGGTTGATTCCAGCCAGACAGCTCCCTCGCCATCTGACCGAGGGAGTGCCTCGTTCCTACACACCTTTTGCCCTCTTCAACGCCGCCCTGTTGCCGCAGAAGCTGTAGGACCTCGGTTCCGGGTCGTGGCATGGTGATGCGGCAGCGGCACGGCAACGTCGAGCAGCCATTTTTCATCCATTACCGGGCTACATACTACCCTCTCCATCCTCAGCAGTAACGTCACCGTCTCTTGAAAACGACGGGAGTTGTGGACGGGCTAAATGTGTGTTCGATCTCGCTACCGCCGTTTTGGTTTAGACCGGCACCTGGTTCGAAGTCCTTCGCCCATAACCCATGTTGTTGCGTGCAACGCACGGAGCTGCGTGAGGCTTGTTTAGTTCAAGGAGCTAGCCCAACGGCGTCATCTTAGAACGTTAAGCACCCCTGGCCAGGCTGAACGAGCTGAGACTGGGGGCGGTGATGTGGGTTGCGACTCGATTTATCTTCCAACTCGACCGCATTCGTGTTTTGTATAGCATAGCTCTTCGTCATTGTTTCGTTCCCGACAGACCACATACCCAGGATCTTGTCGGTATAGGGGTCCCAATCACCATGGTCTATCTCGGGAAACCGTCCAAAGGCTGCGGGATGTGCCGCCAGCGGCGCATCAAGGTAACTCCACTCTCTAACACGTTGCCGACCTCGATCCTTCGGCAACGAGACGACGGGGAGACTGACACCCACGTCTAGTGCGACGAGACCAAGCCGACGTGTAATCAGTGTGCCAAAGCCCGCCGACAGTGTCCTGGCTACCGTGATGAATTCGACATCGTCCTGCGCATCGAGAACCAAGCTGCCCGACGACGCGCCCTGAAGCTGGGGAGCGGTCGTAGGAGAAAGAATGCCTCAACGCCATCATCTACCAGCAGCGACGATGCCTCATCCTCATCATCTAGCTCCCCACCCAGTTCGACATCTTCCATCTCGGGGCCCAGAACACAGCTAACTCCCACCGAACGAAACCTCTCCCTGACCCAGCAACTCCAGCGCCGAACACCCCCTCCATCTGTCCCAGCCAACCTCTCCCTCCCCCTTGAAGAAGTCGCCCGCTGCCACTTCATGGCCAATTTTGTGCTTCTACCCGGCAAGAATGGTTCCCACGGCTTCATGGAGTACCTCATCCCCTTACTCGCCGAGTCGCCCCCCCTCTCTCTCCTCCCACCATCCCCCCCGGCCTCACTATCATCAAGATCTTCCTCGCCGACAGCAACAACCATCAACCCCTATGTACCGTTCCAACACGCCTTTAATGCCTGTGCCCTCGCGTGGCTCGGCAACCGTGTCGGCCGCCGAACCCTCTTACCAAGCCCCGTCCCATCCCCGCCGCCACATCTCTCAGCCGAAGAGAGGGCCACAACCCCAGGCCAGCTGATTGGTCGTGCATTTGGGGAATATGCGCGCGCGTTGAGGGCGATGCAGACGCTGTTGAAGCATGATCCGCAACGTGCAGCAGCGAGTGATGCGGTGCTGGCGTCGGTGCTATTGCTGGGTTTGTTTGAGAGTATCAGCGCGAGGAGGATCGGGGATTATGCTTGGGGGAGTCATACACTGGGGGCCGTGCAGTTGGTTAAGACGAGGGGAAGGTCGTTGTTAAAGACGAGGGTTGGGTGGGGGTTGTGGGGTGGGGGGTTAGGATTCAGATGATGGTAGGTTTTCTTCTTCTTCTTCTTCTTCTTCTTCTTCTTCTTCTTCTTGTTGTTGTTGTTGTTGTTGTTGTTGTTGTTGTTGTCTTTTGCTTGGTTGAATGAAGATGGGGGCGCTGACAGAGTGTAAAAAAAGATCATCTACAGCCTAACATCGGGCAACACCCCCGATATGGGCACAGAATGGTGGATGAGCGCCGGCATCGTCGACAGCACCGCAGCCGAGTGCCAGCGCTTGAACCTCGAAACGGGCGAGCTGCGTGCCGAAGCAACTCGTGTCATGGCCGCCGCTGTCGAACGTACCCCTGCCACGACAGCCTATGTCCAGTCCATCCTTGAGCGTGCAAAGCAGCTCGACGCCAGAGTCGCTGAATGGATGCGCAATGTGCCGTTCGAATGGCGGTACGAGACCATCTGGCCGGAGAACATACGCCCGCTAGGCGGCATGAGCATGGCCGACCTGGCGTGCGCAGAGGTCTTCCCTGATCTGCGCCGGGGCGTCGATGTTTACCGTGACTTTTCCACGGCCGCGAGCTGGAACCTGGCGCGCACAACGCGCTTGATTTTATGGTCTATTGCCGTGAGGTGTGCGGCTTGGATTGGAATGCCGCAAGTTAGGGACTGGCGGCAGACCGAGGAGTATCTCCAAGCTAAAGATGTCGCGAGCAACATGGTTGCGGATATTATTGCTAGCGTGCCGTATCATTTGCGTTGGAAAGGGATTAATTGCAAGCAGGACCTGGGGTTTGCGGTCGGTAATGATGATGCCCCTGGAGTGAGGGGCTTGGGGGCATATTTCTTGACTTGGCCGCTTGCGTGTGTCATGACGCAAGACTATGCTACTGAGGAGCGTACGTTGGACAAAACACTTCGTGCTTTGGTAATGATGTGCTGCTGACCAAAAGCAGAGCGTGCCTATGTCCGCGGTAGGCTGAACTATATCGGCGATGAGTGTGGCATCAAGTATGCCCATATCTTAGCACAGGTAGGCCCTGAACCCTCTCCTTTCTTTTTCTTTTTCTTTTTCTTTTTCTTATGGCAGTGTCTCACAAGTCGACAGCTCAACTTTCGTATCCCGTCCATGCTGATCCGTTCCGACGGACTGATGGCAAAGCCCTTCCCCAAAGCCTATGACTTCGAGAAGTTGGTGTCGGCGCCTCCACCGCAGGCGCATTCCATGCTAGTTGGGCAAGCAGCTGCGCCGGGAGAACAGACGCAGGATCGGCTCGCTGCGCTGGCAGCTATGGCGGTGGGGCAGATGGGACCGACAGAGGCGACATAAGTTGCCAGGGGTATATGAAGACTAAGAGGTCGACGCTGGTTGACTATGGTCTACAATATCGTCCCTTGGCCTTGGAGATTTCCTCCGAACAAGGCACATTGTGGGTGATAACTGATAGAAACAGCACCTTTAGCTGGGTGTTGCCATAGCTTCAGTATTATCGTCCCTAGACTTGGGCAGATTAACCCAAGATTCGCCCAGGAATGGTTCATGGGCAAAATTGGACCCAAATTTGGAACTTTCATTTAGGGTTGGGTTTTTCTTCTAGAAACCCAACAGTTCAGCAAGGAAAGCCCAGGGCCCGTATACGATACAGCTCCGTCATATATATCCCCTTTGGATATGGTTTTTGGTACGTATTTTTTTTGATAGGGAAAAGTGGAAGAGAGATTCTAATGGGTTAAAGGGTAGGGTAGGCCGAGGGGAATTGGGCAAAAAGAATAGGATTTGGATGCTGGGAATATGTAGTTGGAATAATCCAGTGTGTTTTTGGTTACAAGTAACAAACACATGTTTGTCAAAGCAGAAAGCATCGCGTTAGCATTAAGTTCTGCAACTTTTGATTTTACCTGATACCCCCCCCCCAACTTTCACTCACTGGCCGACCTTCTCCTCTCCCCTTTCATCGTTAGTCCTTCGCCGCCCCGTGCTTCAACTTCCCAAGAAGCTTCCTCCTTTTCGAAGTCTTCCCTTCTTCTTTCTCAGCAGCCCACGTCTCGGCGGCAGCATCCAATGCCTTGACGACCCACTTCTGGGTTTTGTCGTGGTAGGCCTCGGTACCTTTCTCTTTGAGGTTCAGACAGGCACCATCACGTGAGATGTGGAAGTTCGGATGGCGGTCGTGGAGCTGGGCTTTGGCTTCGGTCTTGATGCGTTTCCAGGAGTGGTAGATTGCTCGGACAAGGAGGATGAGCAAGGTTAGGGTGAGGAGGGTGAGGGTTAGTTGGAGAAGTTGGCTACATGAGTGTTAGGACATTGATGTGAATGAACTGGAATTGACATCAAGTAAGGACATACGTGGTTTACGATTTGTTCTATTCCTGTTTCCAAACCACAGACTATGTTTGCGAAACAAGAAAGAAAGCTTATGGGTTGGCGTTGGAAGTCACACAGTCGGTTGCCCAAACTGGGGTAAGCTGGCGACGAGATGTTTGGAGATGATGCTTCATTGTTTGGTAACACACCAGTCGCCAACTCACGGGTGATGATCAGATTTTTTGACTGGGATTTGGATCTTAAAAATAAAGCACCCTTTCGAGGCCGCCATATTTAAACATGGATCGCTTACATCATCCCACATATCAGCCGGCAGTGCACCAGCACAAAGTTGCACAAAAGCTAGCTGATTGCTCAGAACTAAAGCTCACGAGGACTAGAGAATGAAAGCGCCTGAGGTCGAAAACGGGGCGTATTGTAACGTACTCCTCAATCTACATGCAGGTAACGAGGAGAGCGATACGCATATATCGGAGTTCCCGTGGAGATCTCGTGCTGCGCCCGCTAAGCCACACTCGTGCCCGGCTCCAGCCTCTTTAAAGGCAGCTCCAGCCGGTCTCCGGGGACACAGTGCGAGAGCAGGCAGCCGCGTTAGCAATTTCGCGGCTTGGTGAGTGGCGCCCACGCTGACCCGCAGGGCAGGCTCCAGCCAAGGAAGGACGTGCCTGTGGCGGGCGCGGAGCGGATGAGGCCAGTCTGTCATCGCGGTGCCCCTCGACGCCAAGACTGCTAAGGGCACAGTACGGGCTCCTCTGGGAAGGGAAGCTAGGGACGGCACCGCACTGAACACTGCAGCAGAGGCCACAGGTCATTCAGGACCAGGCCACAGAACGACCGAGCTTCAACTCCAGACCCGTCCCGTCGACGTCGACCGGCGACCAGACGGCTCTCTCTTTGCCTTTCGAGCAACCCCAGCCCAGCCCCAGCTTCATTCGGCTGCAGCAAGCCAGAACAGGGCACCGACCGCACGCATCAGGTGCCAATTGCTGCTGCAGACGGATAAGAAAGTGGACGTGAAAGTGGAACTACCGAGGACGACGGTCTCCCACGACAACGACGACCACGACCACGACGCAAGAAGCAGACGATAATTTACATCGCAGAGCAAGGGAGAAGAAAACCACAAGCATGTCCGCGCCCTACGACGGTTACGGCCAGCAGCAGCCGTACCCCGACCCAGCCCAGGCATACGGAGCGCCTGCGCCTGGCGTCCCCGCGCCCGAGCAACAACCGCATCACCACCACCACGAGCAGCACAAAAAGAAGAAGAGGGCATATGCCGCCGAAGCCTTTGAGATCGGCTCGGGCGCCAATGCTGCCGTCGGCGGCCAGCTGCCGGGAGGAGGCCAGTACGGCGTGCCCCCCGCTGCCGCTGCCGCTGCTGCTGCCCCGGCCTACGGCGCCTACCCACAGCCCGTCCAGCCCGAGCTGCCGCCACAGCCGCAGTACGGCATGCCCCAGCCGGCAGCCCCTGTCGGAGGATACCAGCCGCTGGAGCCCTACTACCCCGGCGCCGGCGCCTCTTCGGTCGGCATCGTCGCAGGCCTCGCCGGCGGCATCGCCAACATGAGCCTCGGCCCCAGCCCAAGCTCTCAGCCAACACCAGCCCAGCAGCAACGTGTTGGCCCTCTCAACCAGCTCTACCCGACCGATCTGCTCAACCAGCCCTTCAACGTCGCCGAGCTGGATCTGCCCCCGCCGCCCATCATCCTGCCTCCCAACTGCAGCGTGACGCCATCTCCCAACGCCAACTGCAACCCAAAGTATGTGCGCTCGACCCTGAACGCCGTGCCGACCTCGCACTCGCTGCTCAAAAAGAGCAAGCTGCCTTTCGCACTGATCATCCAGCCTTATGCCTCGCTGCACGACCTCGATGACCCCGTTCCCATTGTTCAAGACCAGGTTATTTCGCGCTGTCGCCGTTGCCGCTCCTACATCAATCCTTTCGTGACGTTCCTCGACAATGGCCATCGCTGGCGCTGCAATATGTGCAACTTGACGAACGATGTTCCCCAAGCCTTCGATTGGGATGCTGCTGCCCAGAAACCGGTCGATCGCTGGCAGCGGCATGAGCTGAACTATTCGGTTGTTGAGTTTGTTGCTCCTCAGGAGTACATGGTGCGCCCGCCACAGCCTCTGGTCTACCTCTTCCTGTTCGATGTCAGCTACGCCGCTGTTTCAACTGGCCTGCTGGCCACGAGCGCTCGTACCATCCTCGACAGCCTGAACCGCATCCCTAATGCCGACCGCCGCACTCGTCTCGGCTTCATGGCCGTTGACTCGGCCCTGCACTACTTCGTCATTCCGAAGGACGGCGAGGAGAACGCCGAGACCAGCATGCTGGTTGTCAGCGATCTCGATGAGCCGTTCCTGCCCGTCCCTACTGAGCTGCTGGTGCCGCTTACCGAGTGCCGCAACAACATCGAGGCCTTCCTGACGAAGCTGCCCGATATGTTTGCCAACAACCAGAGCAACGGCTCGGCCATGGGCCCTGCTCTACGCTCCGGTCACAAGCTGATTGCGCCGCTCGGCGGCAAGCTGGTCGTTCTGACTGCTTCGCTGCCGAATCTCGGTGTTGGCAAATTGGAGATGCGCGAGGACAAGAAGTTGCTTGGCACCTCCAAGGAGGGCAGCCTGCTGCAGACGGCCAACAGCTTCTACAAGAGCTTTGCTGTGGAGTGCTCTAAGAACCAGGTCTCGGTCGACATGTTCTTGTTCAGCTCACACTACCAGGACGTTGCCTCGCTCAGCAACCTGCCCCGGTACACTGGTGGTCAGACCTGGTTCTACCCCGGCTGGAACGCCGGCCGTCCTGAGGACGCTATCAAGTTTGCTTCTGAGTTCAGCGACTATCTGTCGAGCGAAATCGGTCTCGAGGCCGTTCTCCGTGTGCGTGCCACAACCGGTTTGCGCATGAACGCCTTCTACGGCAACTTCTTCAACCGCTCTTCCGACCTGTGTGCCTTCCCTGCCTTCCCCCGCGACCAGTGCTACGTTGTGGAGGTCGCCATCGACGAGACAATCCAGAAGAATGTTATCTGCCTGCAGACTGCTGTCCTGCATACTACATGCAACGGCGAGCGCAGAATCAGGGTGTTGACACTGGCCCTGCCGACTACCAATAGCTTGGCAGATGTCTACGCGTCGGCCGATCAGGCCGCCATCACGACCTACTTCACGCACAAGGCGGTCGAGAGGGCGCTCAGCGGCAGCCTGGACGCTGCTCGCGACGCTCTGCAGAGCAAGATCATCGAGCTGCTGACCACCTTCCGCAAGGAGCTGGGCGGCGGCGGCGGAGGTGCCCTCGGCGCAGGCCTGCAGTTCCCTGCCAACCTGCGCGCTCTGCCCGCGCTGTTCCTGGGCCTCATCAAGCACGTCGGTCTGCGCAAGTCGGCTCAGATCCCGAGCGATCTCAGGTCTGCGGCCCTCTGTCTGCTCAGTACCCTGCCCCTGCCTCTGTTGATGCAGTACATCTACCCCCGCATGTATAGTCTGCATGACATGCCAGATAATGCGGGCCTGCCCGATCCGGAGACGAGTCAGATCGTGCTACCGCCGGCCGTCAACTTGTCTGCTGAGCGCATGGTCAGCTACGGGTTGTATCTGATCGATGACGGGCAGACGCAGTTCCTGTGGGTCGGCCGCGATGCGGTTCCTCAGCTGCTTATTGACGTGTTTGGGGTGTCGGACCGATCGCAGCTGCGCGTGGGTAAGGGCAGCGTGCCGGAGCTGGATAATGAGTTTAACGAGAGGGTGCGGAATGTCATTTTGAAGAGTCGCGATCATAGGAGTCGCGGTGTTGGCAGCGTTACTGTTCCGCATTTGTATATTGTGCGGGAGGACGGCGAGCCTAGTCTCAAGTTGTGGGCGCAGACAATGCTGGTGGAGGATCGGGCGGATCAAGGGGTTGGGTTGGCGCAGTGGATGGGAATTTTGAGGGAGAAGGTAAGTTCGTGATCTGGGTGAGACTTGAAAGGATGAATGCTGACGGATGGATAGGTTGTGCAATGATCACCTACCTACCGATCTCGCTGTTGAGGTGAGGCTCAAGGGGGGAAAGCTGGGTCAAGCTAGATGGGTTGAGCCTATCTGGCGTGGGTATGGAGTAGTTAAGTCGAAGTAGTAATGGCTGATGATGGAAGAGTGATCATAAGAGATCACCATGCCCCAAGTGGAAGAGCGGAAGACTCAAGAAGATACATAGCTAAATTAGCATAAAGGAACTCTGACAGCTTGCTTATTGTATGTCTTTGGCTGGCAGTGAAGCTATGGTTGGTTCAAGACTATTAATAGCAACCTAGCCCAAGTATATAGGCAGGTAGGTAAACGAAGGAGGTTTGACTACCCCGGCTCATTTCGAGATGTCCTATTCGCCCCAGTTATAAGCATACCTACAATTGTGGGAGCATCCCTTAGAAGTTCCGGAGCTTCTGTAAAATTATATTAGATGCAGTCTTCTTCGCACTATAGGCCTTAAACCCTTCCTACTATAGGACTTATAGTACCAACCCGAATCCTCCGTTGAAAATCTACTAAGCAAATTTTCATATAAGCTTTTGACAAGAGCCTAGTAACTAAGAAGTATAGCTTTATGTTTCCCCTTTCTTAAATTTCTTCTATGCCCTCCTGTTCTTCTACTACCATTCCCTATCTCTTTATAGTCCTTCTTTCCTTCTATTCCTTCTTCTCTTTACTAATCTATTCGTTTAGCACGATATCGTCATTCAACCATAATCTCTATACAACACCTGACGTCTAGGTTATAAGAACAAAGAGGCTTTCTCTTATATCCAGCAACAACGGGTTCTCTTCTGCTTTGATCGGTTATGTTGCTACAATCATCTAGTGGTCAAGGATCATTCAACATCCCAGCAGCATATACGACCAAACGTTCCAGAGACAACTGCTGTTGGAGAAAATAGAATGAATTGAAAGTGTCACTGGTACGTGCAACTGCCCGATGCAAACAAGCCAGTTTCATGTATCTCCAAATCAAGTTTCTCGTTTTCATCCTCACTCCCATTGCTCTCTCCTTATTCACCACTCAGTCTCCTCAGTCTCATCACTCTCCTCAGTCGTATAACTCTCCCACCTACCTCACTTTCCTCACTTTCCTCACTTAGGTCCTCATCCGCATCGGTCATTGTGAATGCTAAACCTTTGTCTGCCCCCACTTCAAGCAAAAATCTTTCCACTTTATCTAATCTTTTTTTTGCCAGCATACCACAAAATTGTCCTCCCTTTATTATCCTTTACATCAACCTCAATATCTCGATTAAGGAGAAAGCTGACAACCCTCATATCCTGTTGCAGCCCCATGGCCATCACTTGAGCATGCAATAATGTCCTTCCCATATTGTCCTTTTCCTCAACGGTCAGCGCACCTTTCCCCCTCTCCAGTAACAGTTTTATCACATGCAGATTGCCTTTCGAGCAACCATACCATACAGCCGTCCTACCCTTATTGTCCTTTATATCAACCTTGATACCTTCATCAAGGAGCAATGTTGCAACCCTTGCAACCCCAGCGTCATCCCATTCTTTGAGGCCAATGGCCATAGCATGTAACAGAGTTTTTCCTGTGGAATCCTTCTCCTTGAGAGCCAGATTATCTCCAGTCCTCTGCAGTAACAGCCTTACCACATCGGAAGCACCATTCCAGCAGGCATACCATAACGCTTGTCCTCCCCATATTGTCATACGTGTAAGCTGTGATCCCATGCTTAAGGAGAAACGCTATGTTTTCAATGTGTCTATCGAGCATCACAGCATTGTGTATTTGCGTCTCTCTCCCTTAATGCCCTTGCCACATCCCAGAGATGGTGCTTGCAGGCATACCATAAAGGCGTCTTCCCATCATTATCCTTGGCGTCAATATCAATCCCCCACCTCTTGTCAAAGATGTGCTGAACTTTATAAAGCTGGACCTGTTTCAGGTTTACCGCGGTGTGTAAGACTGTTCTCCCCTTGAAGTCCCTATCCTTGACCGTCTGAATATTCGCACCATTGTCTAGCAGTGATTGGATAATCTCTCTGTAAGGTTTCACCAAAGCATACCACAAGGCGGACCTCCCCTTATCATCCTTGGCATTCAAGTCAATGTTGTGCTGGATGAGGAACTGAGCTTGATCGATCTTTGGTACTTTGCTGGTGATAATGGCATGTAATATAGTATTCCCCACGCGGTCTCTCTCTCTGATACTTTCGATATCTGCACCTTTTTCGAGCAATAAGTCAATAACTTGTTGACTCCATTCCACACAAGCGTACCACAAAGCTGATCTTCCTTCGCTGTCCCTCGCGTTAACATCTGCTCCAGCTTCAAGCAATTGCTCGATGACATTAACCTCTAAGGACTGGCAAATGGCTCTGTGTAATGCTGTCTGGCGATGATTATTCGCGATGTTTGGATTGGCGCCTTTATCCAACAAGACTTTTGTAACTTCCTTTCTGCGAGAGTGGAGAGCAAGCTGCAATGGTGTGTTTCCGTCTTGGTCCTTTGCATTGATGTTGACATCGGCGCCCCAGTTAATCAGATCTTCTGCAATATTTGGATCCGGCGCAACGTGAAATACTGATCGTCTCATATAATCAAACTCGTTAACGTCCGCGCTTCTCTCTAGCAGCAAGTTGACGATGCTTCTGCGGCCACTTGAGACAGCACTAAAGAGTACCGATGATCCCTTGCTATCCCTTGCGTCGATTTTCGCCCCATGATTGAGCAAGATGCGGGCAACATGAGAATCGCAAGCAACATGCAATGCAGTCTCTCCATCCCTTCTTCTGACATTGGCATCTGCTCCACTCCTTAGCAAGTAGTCCACAATGTCTGCATCACCATATGAGCAGCGATGTGTAAGGGTGTGCCCCTCCAATCAACCATGTCGCTGATAGCCGCTCCATTGTCAATAGCCGTCTGTACCGCCAGAACGGCTCTCCACTTAAGAGCATCTTTAAGCAGAGCTTCGTTTGCCATAGTCGCCTCAGTGTTACTCCAATACTCAAATTCCTCGCCATCTGTGAGCCGCAATTTCAACAGTGTCCGGACCTTGTCCCTGAACCTTTCACTCCTAACAATCTCCACACTTTCCAGTGGTGGAAAATAGCCTTTTCGATCAGAAGAGGCTCCCTTGGACACAAGATAATCCATAATACTTTGGTACAGTTCAGCAGGCATGGCATCAAACTCCTTTCAGCTTTCCAAGACCTCCATTGGTGTCATTCCATTGAAGGTTAAGTTTATATTGGCACCCCTTTCCACAAGTAGCTCAATGACTCTTCGGCGTCCTTGCTCGACGGCACAGAACAATGCGGATTTGCCGCAGACATCTAACGTGTTGACAGAGACCCCAGCCTCGAGCAGTAGGGTGATGATCGTTCCATATCTATTCTCAAAAGCGTAGAATAACGGCGTTTGACCTATGGCATCTCTTCCATTGATGGCAAGATGAATGCTCTCAAGGAGCGAATATATTCTTGACTTATATGTGTTGCCAGGATCACTGCTGACGCCAACGCGGAGTTTAGCTGATTTGGGGATCTCGGCAATAAATGCAATCAACAACTCAATCCCAAGTTTTGTTGCACGGAAGATGGCACCTGTGTCTTGGATCTCTTTCCTCTTCAGCTTGAGAGCCCAAGGATAACGAGGTTGTGGGGAATACTTCTTAGATAAGGCTTGAATATCAATTGGTAGCTGTTGAGTTTGTGCCTCGATCTCGAGCAATGCGAGAATTGTATCTCCACAATCTTTCGGCTCTCGCATCGCAGCAACAATTTCTGAGCCGTAAAAGGCATATCTAACATCGAAACAGGAAGATTCTGGAGGCCAGAGCCAGATCAAATTACTCAGATGCATCTCAGCAAAGATGACTGATAGGCTGACCGGTTCTGCCTCTGGGAAGCCGTCTTCTTCATTATGAAAACTGTTGTAGACCGCTCGCCATCGCGAAAGAGGGAATTGCTCTTCCAAAAACTGTCGCTGGCTAGTGAACTGCTGAGCTATATTGGCATGATTAAGAAGATACTCTGCTTCGTAGTGAAGGAATGGATATTTGCTTTTGATTGCCTTCTGCAGCTTTTTGAATGTGTGTTATTCTTTGGACTGTGAATCTGTGAAGAGTTTGTTGTGATGCTTTGGAGAAATTGTCCGTCCACTGAATTTAATTGAGATAGGCAACAATTCTTCAACAGCTCATGCCCATCGGCTTCAAGGTTGCCGGTGGCTGGGAGCCACTTGTGGTTATCACCTTTTCCGAATAAGAAGTCGCAGACCGATTCATGAATGAACTGGACCCGTGGCTGTTCATTGAAGCAAAATGGTCTAACAGCCTCGGCAAGACCTTTAGAGGCATGCTTGATAAAAGCAGTTATCGTCTCCTGTGATATCTTGCCACGATCCCAATAGCCTGTCCACCACTCGTGCTCATGAAAGTGAACAGCGCAATAGAGCTCTTCCGGGCTAAGTGGACGAATAGAGAAGAGAATAATCTTGAAACAAACATCTCTCAATCTTCGGTTCTTTCCCTCTTCAAGGATATTTGCAGAAGAGCTTGGATAGGTCTCCGGGAATTTCCTTCAGCCTTTGGCGCATTGCTTCGATAGGCTTTCCAGGGTACTCCTCATTCAAAGTATCAATTACAAGGACAACCCAAAGAAAGATTCCGTTAGACTTCTCCAATATTTCCTTCTTGAGTAGGTCCACGGTTATATCGCCCTCAAGATCAAGTGCCGAATCGATGTATCGTTTGATATCTTCGATATGTCCCTATTCCCTTTCTAGAGCAATTTCTAGGAATTTACTTATCTTGATCTGTGGATAATGCCGGCTTGATAGGCAAACATGCAGCAGGACATTGCTTGATTGAGCAGCAGGAGAGAGTTGCTTGGTGAAAAAAACGGACCATACAATTGATCTCGTTGTGGGTGCGCTCGCCTAGAGCATCGATGAAAATGGTCAGCGAACTACCCTTGAGTCTTTTGACGGCTTCGATTCGTGTTTGTTGGAGTGGCACTAGCTGCCACCCTTGAACCACAATACTCTTTGCACCATCGTCCATCCACATCAAGCTCTCGTCAATGGTATTTGGGTTGGAATTGAAGAGTTTGTGGAAGAGAAAACGATAGAGGCCAATCGAGGGTCTCTGGTCCACTGATTCTTGGGCGAAGAAGAAGAATGACAAAACGATGTCATGATGTTTAGCCTGTCTGTGCGCATTTTTGAATAGGAAGTTCATCAGTGTTGACTTGCCGGTGGCCGGATTCCCCCTGATTCACAAAAACCCGCCATGTTCCCCCAGTTTTGTCGGGTCACGCCAACTTTTGTACTGGAGAGTGTCGTAGAACCACCGACAAGATTCTTCACGGGCAGGAGGGAGGTTTATCCGATGGGATTCCATTGCTTTGAAGGGGAGAAGCTTCAATAGTTGCTCCTTCAGTTCACTTGGTATGGACCGTTGTTTTGTGTGTTCCTGACTTGGTGCTAAGGTTTGTTGTGTGTTCTTCGCTGGCTCTTTAACAGCAGACCGCTCTGGGTCGGTTTGTTCATTGTCAGTTGCTTGCAACGTTCCCTGACCTGACTGATCGTTGACAATAGCCTGTATTCCCTTGAAGTCCCCCAAAACCTTTTTCAATGCAGAAGCGACTTTCTCATACTCGGTGTCATCAAGGCCAGAAAAACGGCACATGTCCATGTGGTTGCGTTCAATCCTTTGCTTCGTCTCTACTATAGGGTCCTCAAGACAGGACGAATCGGTTTCCACGACCTTCCTGCCAAGGAGAACGACTTTGTGAGCTTCCCGGAAGGACCATATACGCCACTGCCTTTCATGGCACATAACAAGGAAGTGTTCTCTGAGTTCTGTCATGTCCCGTGATCCTAAACAAAGGGTGTTGACAATCTGCTGGTTAACTTTCCAACTAAGCATTCTAGCTCCAGCTGAAATAATGTTATGTATGAGTGCCCTAGGATCAGTTCCCCGATGAGGTGTACCAAAGAAAAAGACGCCAATAGTTGACTCGAGTATTGAATGGAGATCAGGATGTGTTGACAGGCAGTTCTTTGACTACCACAACGCGCATTTAACAACGATGCCTCCTAGGCTGTGTACAATGAAGAGAATAGGCGGGGACTTTTCCTTGCAATCGCGGCGTTGAGACTCCAAGCAAACAAGCAAGTCCCAGGCATGGTCGGACACGCTGTTGTTGTTTACTGGACCCTGGAAGATGTGTCTGATATGTGTGTCGTATCCATATGTGAGAATTCGAGAACACGGTACCGTTTCGGGTAGCAAATCTGCAGGCCAAAAGACGTCTTTTCGAAGTTCGCCGATTTTCTCTTCCTTAGTAGAGGCTGTCTGAACTTTTGAGTTTGATTTTTGGTCTGTTTGAGTAATGCACACATCTTGCTTTGATCTGGACCGGCTGCTTGAGGTAAGGTTGTGGAACAATCGTCGGATATTAAGTTTCGATGAGGATGTTTTTAAGATATCGTCAGTTTTGTCGTGCAATGTCAGCTGTTTGGCCGACTGTTCCTGATGACAGCGCCATGTCCATGTATCCCAGGGATGGCCAGTAAAGCCATGGATGAACACCAAACTAGATGCATCAGTTAGCTCCTGGGATGTGTCGGACCATGGCATGAGTTTCAAAGGTTACTTGAGTGCCGGTACGTACTCGACAATTGCTTCAGAATGCTCGTAGACAATGGTGAAACCCGTTGGTTTGATATCTTCTCTCCTTTTGGCCATGTCTGCTTTGAGAGAAAGCTGCTTCAGAAACCTTGGGATTGATTAGGCTGTATAATTGTTTGGGGAGGGGGGGGAGGGGTTGAGTGCCCTCAAGGGATGATTGTCGAACACGTGAAGGGATGGCTCTGAACAAGAAGGGCTCCAACGTATCATCACAAACGAAGATAGCAGCTAGAGAATAGGTAGAGGAGACATAGCAAATTTCACTGACTATAAGACATTCAAATGTTTTAAGAACCAAGAGCCTCGCTGAGGCTTACTCCTCGGGCCTACCAAATCGGCCAATCGACCCACCCATGCAAAAAGACCACGCCGCTCGAACGCAAGGCCACACCGTCCACAACAGCAGCTTTTCTGCTTGATTAGTCGTCTGGACAGGAGGAGTTGTTCGATTAGGCATGTTCAGAGACTTAATGGATAGTTGTTAGTGGATTGTTCCACTGAGACTCCAAGGTAACCTGGGCCACCACAGTTTATCTGTGGGCACTGGTGTAGGTGTCTCCGGCCATGCTTTGTCCCCATACTTGTCGAGCCTACTCGTACGTGTTTCACCTTTTCAAGCACAGAGAATATTTAGATATAAATCCCTTGAAATGATATTTTCATGTTGGGTGAGCCGTTATAGGTTGCCTGCCTTGAGATCATGGGAAGACAATCAAAAAGTGAAAGGTAGGAATCACGTGCCAGATCTAGGCGCCGTAAGCCACAAGCCATGAGTGGGTCCGCAAGTGGGAGTTTCGCATAGCATGACGTACACAGTGCAGACAATCACTGAGCTGACGACGGGTGCAGATCAGGCCATTCATTCCCTCAGCCCAAAGCCACACTGTGTCACACTGTCCCGACGTCAGGCTCATGGTACCTTGAGGGCTGGCCGTCACCACGTTACCATATGTAGCTTGTGTCTTCAGCCATCTGCCTCCCCAAACTTCAACATCAATTCATGGAAACTCTTATCTCTTTTAACATTGTCACATTTGACCTAATTCTTCCTCCTCGACGCCGAGGACATTGATGGCCAACACATTCACCCCCAGCCATTGGCCGCGACGACCTCCCGTTGCGACAGTCCATCACCACTTCAGGTACAACCACCATCACCATAACCAACTCAGCAACCTCTGTCCAATTGAAACTTACTCCCTCACAACATGAACCTTTCTTCCTCAGCCAAACACCAACGTCCCCTCCGCTCGCGGCAAAGCCCCGAGCTAGGCGGCTCCTCCTCAACCCCGCGCTCCACATCCGGTGCCTGCACGCCGACCTCCCCGGGCCCCGCCCCCTCCGCCTTCTCCAGCTTCTGGGGCGGCCTCGTCCGTCGTTTCTCCGGAGAATCAACGCCAAAATACTACGAGACTAGCAGCGAGCGACACCACCGACGCAATGGTACGGCAGATGCGGTACTCACCAAGTCGTCGCGGACCAGGACGCCCTCGCCCGAGGGGGGCAAGCTAACCCTGCCACCGCTGCCACCGCTAGAGTTGGTGGGATTTGCGGAGGATACGGCGCCATCGGCGCGGCTGCTGACGGTGCAGGTGGCGGAGGAGATTCGGATTATGGTGCCGGCGAGGTTGAGCATTGTAGAGCAGTGGAAACTGGTGTATAGCTTGGACCAGGACGGAGCCAGTCTGGCGACGTTGTATGACAAGTGCTCGCGGTATCAGGGAAAGAGGGTTGGGTTTGTGCTGTGTGTCCGGGACGCTGGCGGAGGGGTACGTTTTACTTATTTCACTTTTTCTAGTCCTTCGCTTTGTCTGTTGCTTGTTTGCTAACACCCCATTCAGCTTTTCGGCGCCTATCTCTCCGACTACCCTCACCCAGCGCCCAAGTACTTCGGCACGGGAGAGTGTTTCCTCTGGCGAGTTGCGGTCATCAACTCTCGGACTAATGACTCCGATGAGAAGCCTCCGCAACCTGAGATTCGCTTCAAGGCGTTCCCCTATTCAGGCGTGAACGAGTACTATATGCTGTGCGAGGCACACTTTCTGAGCATGGGCGCTGGCGACGGCAAGTACGGCTTGTGGCTGGACGACAGTCTGGAGCGCGGCATCAGCTCAAGGAGCCAGACGTTTGGCAACGAACCACTTAGCGATGAAGGAGAGAAGTTTGATGTTCTCGGTGTCGAGGTTTGGGTTATTGGAGGCTGATATTATGACCCTCCAGCCCACACTACACCTCTTCAGCGAGGGAGACTTCGACGTGCGTTATCATCTCTGCTTACTCTGCTTAGTCTTGTTTTCCTGCGGCGTACGGAATGACTGGGAGGTCTTTTTGAACCAAAAATGCAACTCGACTCAGACCAAAACCCGAGATGGAACGAACCATTACGTAATGCAGCAAAAGGAAAGGGGGTTCAACCGCGTTTATGAATAACAGCAACCAAATAAGCGGCGGTAACGAGCTATGAAAATGTGGAGGGAACCTGGGGTAAAGGGAGTTTTGGCGTACGAGATCAACACGATTCATTGGATTTCTGAACTTTTTTATCCAAGCGCAGGGTGCTTTTTTGTCTTTGTACGCTACCTTTTCTGCGACGTGTATCTATGGACTATCAAAAGAATAAGTAAAAGCTGGGTTCTGGTCAGCAATGATAGCAGTAGCTTTGGTTCGAACACTTCATAGTTACCTGAGGCATACCTAAAGTGGCCTAAGTGGACGGTGATCGCGGCCTTCATCCCAACGAAGATGGCCTTCTGACTTTGTTAAAATCAGTCCCTTCCCCAGTCGGTGAGAAACAGGCCAAGGTTCAAGCCAAAGTAAAACAAGGTCACGTAACATCAAGGGCGAGGTCTCTGCTTGAATGATGATAAAACCAATGGGCAGAACATGCCTTGGGGGCTCTATGTACCCAAATAACCTCGCCCTCACCATTTGATTGAGGCACACATCACTCAGGAACGAAAACACAAGCACACAAATCACCTTACTTCAAGCCCAGCGGTAGTACCAAAAGAAATCAACTGATTCTCTGCCCTCCTACTTTCCTGCCTGCATGAATGACTGAGTGAAGAGTGAAGAAACTGACAAAAAAGAGTATCGTCCTGTATTCCGCCCAATCATCTCCATCACATCTCCAACCAAATCACCTTCATCTCACGTCATATCACCAACATCACATCTCCTTCAGCAAAACCCAACCATCAACCGTAATACATCCGCGATGATATCCATTCATCCACTGATCAATCACCCAAAACACCTCACTCCAGCCAAACCTCCAAGCTAAAACCAAGACACCCAACCGAATTAAATCCTCTACCTCATAATCTCATTATATATCAACCTCTTCAACTGCTCCTTAGTTAACGTATCCTTGTGCTTATCGAAGTCAAAAAACTCCTCGGGGATCGGCGGGGCAGTGGGCTCGTCATCCGGGTCGTGGTACGGCTCCAGGTACGGGTGCTTGAGCGCCTCCTCGACCGTGATACGCTTGACCGGGTTGAAGGCAAGCAGCTTCTCGAGCAGGTCGAGCGCCAGCTCCGAGGTGTTGGGGAAGAGCTGGCGGAAGGGAACCTTCTTCTTAAAGGGTAGCGAGCGAATGTACTCGCGCGCGCGTCGCGACTTAATGCCATAGTAGTCCTCCATTGTCGGAGTGCCTAGGACGTCGAGGATGAGCGTGAGTTGGTGATGGTCTGTTTAACAATTAGCCACACGTCCTACATGTAAACACAGAAAGGCAAACGTACAGTCCTTGCCCGGGAAGAGTGGCTTGCCGCTGAGCATCTCAGCAAGGATACAGCCAACGGACCAGATGTCGATGGCCTTGGTGTACTCCTTGAAGGTAAGCATAATTTCGGGCGCACGGTACCAGCGAGTAGCGACGTATTCGGTCATGAAGCCCGAGTTGTCTTCCTGCGAGGCGGCGGAGCGGGCAAGGCCAAAGTCGCAAACCTTGAGATCGCAGTTGGCGTTTAGGAGCAGGTTAGACGGCTTCAGGTCACGGTGCAGCACATTGGCTGAGTGCATGGCCTTGAGAGCACGCAGGGTCTGGTAGATGAAGTACTGGCAGTGGTCATCCGACAGCTCCTGGGTGCGGATGACGCGGTGCATGTCCGTCTCCATGAGTTCCTGGGGAAGTTAGCGGCCATTTTAAGCGGTCCAGAAAGTCAACTAACCTGAATCAGGTACACCTCGTTAAACGTCTCATAGCTCCTCGGCTTCTGGATATCAAGAATGGAAATGATGTTCTCGTGGTTGAAGTAACGCAAGAGCTTCATCTCGCGCAGCGTCCGCAGGCAGAACATAGAGTGGTCGAAAGGTGTAATCTTTTTGATGGCCACCTTCTGGCCCGAGGGCTTGTGGATAGCAGAGCTATCGTCGTTAGCTTTGTTGCATGCTCTGCCGAACGATCTACGTACCACACCACGCCATAAGCGCCCTCTCCGACGACATCTAGGATGTCATATTGCTCGCTGACGTTGAACGAGATCTTGCGGGTACCACCGCGGCTCACTTGCGTAGCCATGGCTGCTGTGTGTCGCGGTCTTGCGCGACGACAAACCGATCAAATCCGCCGAGATCACTGAGCGTTGTTCAGTTTGAGTTCAGTCGATTCAAAGGCCTTCTTATTCGATGTCGCCGAATGTCAAGCCAACCCAAATCGCCGCGTCTAAGATTCTTTATGACACCGTCGACGTGACCTGTCACCTCCCGCTCAGAGCCGTGCCGAAAATGGGACCCACAAGGCTGTCGAACTTCTTTGTCGTGTGTCGGACGCGAGCCTAGGAGCTGGCGGCACAGGACTCAAGGTCGTCTGTCTAATGAAAGAAACAACAATTATACACGTCAGTTTGTCGGAGCCGACCAGCCAACAAAAAGAGCAAATACCAAATATGAGACAGCCGAATAAGAGAGCAACTGAAATCACCCCGAAGCAAAACTCGGAGTCGCCGGCACAACAGAGAGTAGGATTGGTCTCCAAAGAGGCCGCTTGGCGACGTCAACACGAGGTAGGGGATTTTGCGAATGGAGAAAGTTGCAGGCCCAGTGGTGATGTGAAAGCGGCGATCAGGAGGCCAGGTCGTGGCCTTCAGGGGTTGGGGAGGTCAACTGCCGAGTAGCCGTCTCCTGGACGCTTCTCCTAACGGCCTGGGCTTCTGAAAGCCAGCCCCGAAACAACCGCCACCGTTGACTGGCCGACAGTGGCTTAGGGCTTGGGATGATCAAGCCAACGATGGCAGCAGAAGCAGGATGGCGATCAGACACCGTCCGCAGGCCGCCCGGAGTTAAGGTAGGATGAAGGGGTCCAGGTATCCTGGCACAGGTTGCGGAGGAGGGTTTCTCCCAATGGCGGCTGCAGATGATCGTCCAGACCAACGGTGACGCGGTTGAATCTGGCTTGTTGGTCGACAAGTTGAGAGCGCAGTGCGGCAGCCGGGAAGTGTATGTGCCTGTATGATCTGCTCCGGGATGCCCAGGGCGAGGCGGGGGACACAAAGCAGATGAGGGAGGAAAGACAGGCTGTCACCGAGAGTAAAACGTACCTTTGAGGTCGAGGCCGTTCTATCACCAAGTGATGATGGGGGTCGCTGGTCGTCAGGAAGGTAAGATCGGACGCAGGCAGACGACCAGGGTATAGGAACGAAGACGGTGATTTGGATGAAGGTGAAGTAGTGGTGAAGAGACACAGCCCAGCAATGGAGCGGAGGAGAGATTGGATACAAGAGAGCCCGAGAGGCGGGGAGTAAGAGTGGAGAGGGGAAGAACGGCGGTCGTGCGACAGGATGCGCGACGACTGCCCCGCTTCGCTGCGTTGCTAGTTTCCCGGGGCTGGCAGCCTGGGCCTGCTGCTGGCGAGCCGCTGTGCCAGAGCAGAGAGGGGCTCTCCTTGAGCAGAGGGGTAGTGGGCAGGGGTGCAGAGGGTAAGCTGCGGCTGCTGTCCAAATGAGCGGATCGAGGGGATGGAGCTCGAACCAGGTACCAGTACGCACCAGGTAAGAGGAAAGAGCAATAATTTGGCCAAATTGTGGCGAAAGTGGACCGAGAAAAATGACCTTAGGAAGAATCAAAACCACAATTGATAGGAAGCTTCTGCAGTGAGGGAGGGCGGTGCTGATGAATGGTTGGACAAGGGCAGGGTCGCAGCGTTGAATGTGCAAGCACAGTGAGCAAAGCTTGGCGGCCGAATCCAGCGTCCAGCTTCGAAACGGCCAGGACTCGTTGGCTTTGATGGACGCCGATTGGTGGGGCAGCCAGCACCACCTTCACCTGCACTTCATGTTGCCTGTCTGTTCTTCACATCAACGATGTTACCTGCATCCATATCTTTCCAACAGGGACTTGTCCCGTATCTCAGGCTCTTCAAACAGACAACCCGACGGTCACAGTGTGGCTGCTGACTTCATCTGCCCTCGACCTTCACTCAAACTCCGACTGAGACTTTTTGAGAAACACCATGTCATCTTCACCACCTTCGCTCCCACAAACAGCAGACAGTCGGCTCCGTACGGGCAACCATGACGATCCATGTGAAGCGCTGCGAGACAACTGCCCTCGATCCATTCAATCCACGCGTGGCTTGGTTCATCCATGGCCAGTCCCGTCATCAGCGATCCAATCCCTTTCTCAGATTCGTTAACCCGACGGTGTGCCTTTGCCGGCCGGCGCTTAAGCCCGCGCGTGTGGTTGGCCATCCATACTCCATACTATTAGCGACTATGGGCCCATGACCATGCTGTCTGCAGCCGAGTCACTCTCACCTTGATGTCGAATCCCACCAACGGTGATGATTATTTTAAACAGCACATCATCAATCCCCCTCCGCGCAGGAACAGCGTAGAACAAGAAATCCTCCCTCCCATCCCCTCCATCTGTCATAAGCCTAAGAGCTGCCTGCAGGTCCGGTCGGGTTCATACCAGGATCCCCGACTCCAGGGGTAGGCCCACTCTCCAGTTACCCCCCGGGAACGGAGTCTCTATGGCTCGGGTCCCGGACTCGCGCCGTCGCTTGTTTGGATGCTGCTGGGAAACTTGAAACAGTGGCGAGTGGCCCGCAACGAACACTTGAGACAGCCGCCCGGCGGTTTGACGGGTGGGGCTTCCTCCGACCCCTGTTTCTTGCTTCATCATGTCCCGAAACTTACCTGAGCTCCAGCCCTCAGAGACTCTGCCTGTGCTACCGTACCTACGTAGGTAATGCTAATGAATGGCTGATTGCTTGAACATCATTCTGTGTAGCCAGTGCTGGTAAGTTAATTTGTGAGATCACGTGATTTGGGATAATATTCATGTCATTCCGTACTCCTGTTTAGGTGCTGCCTGTGCAAAGAGCGACTTGCACAGACCAACCAGAGCTTACCTAAAGCTCAAGAGGTATCAAATTGTTACTTTTTTCTGCAACTATAACTACCGTCTCTGACGTTAAATAGATGTGGTTGTATATGGATGTAAAGGATGCTACGCGTAGTGATCAGTGGCAGCCGCGTAATGTCATGTCACGTGACGTTCTGGTCGGGGTAACCAACACTCGAACTATATCACAAACATTTAACTTACTCATTACGATAACTTCCGCCGACATCTTCATTTTGCTCTCTGAATGGTGTAAGATGCTGGCGGGTCATAGAAACCGTTGGAGTTTTTGATTGACTAGGTCAGGTGCTGCTGCGTTAGAGACGGTGCCATTACAAGGATCATCGAATTAAGTGATGTGAGACCAGCAAAACAAGTCGTGTCTACTTGGCGAAATCAAGGTTTGAATATCAAATTAATGGTTTTATTATGAAGGAATGGGTTTGAAAGCACTGCACAGGCCAAGGAGATACGGCACGAGATTGTAGGGCTGTGGTGGAAAACGGCGTTCTTGTTTTTTCTCTCCACCTAGTTACTCTTACTTACCCCGTTCAATCACACAAGAAGCAAAGCCAATCGAACAAACATAATTTGACACTTGGCGGTAAAAGTGGATTTATCCGCACGTCTGTTGCCATCCACATTCCCTATGGTGTTGCTCTCAGAGGCACATTTGCCTGTGATTTACGCGGGTAAGGCTCCCTTTCTGGAAAGGGGTAAACATTGGGAAAATATATACAGCCAGGCTTGTGGACCACTATCAGATCTATAATGATAGTTTACCCATAACAATATAGACAGCGGGAGCTGTCGTTGTTATATGTGTGACGATTCCACGACCTCCTGAGGTGGGCTCAAAGGTAGGTGGTCAGTCCGCAGAATCTAAGGGACCAGGGTCCTCACGCAGTAAAATGGAATGCTCCCTGCGGTTACCAGTTGTTGGGTTCAACTGTTAGTATCTCTGACTAAGGAGATCCTCATCGTGGTTCTAGAAATGGGCAATTCTTTATATGTAAATACTCAAGTCGTTGCTATGGCTACTACAAAGTTGAAGTCCTGCCAAGCATTTATATCATTTTCATGACTTCCAACGACACGCTTCCCTTTCTGATTGGCCGCCCTGCCAAACCCCCATAACTCTGCTTTTGGCCTTGGCGAGTGTTTCGCGCTGGCCCTGTTCCACCCACCTTGATTCGCCCACAGATCGTAACAACAAGGGAAAGTGACAATTCCCTGGCGATTGAGATATGCGATACGGTTTTTTTACTTAGTCGTCCGTATGATATGATAGATTCCGTTATGTCAAGACTTAGATCCCATGTTAGCGAACTATCCCTTTACTCCTATTTGAGGTATAAACTAGCCAAATCTCTTTTTTGCCTCTTCTTGTACAGAGCTGATTAGCCTCTTAATGTTTAAATGGGTTTTTATGTGTTCGCTGTTGGGTATACTTGTAAAGGTATCAACCTTACCATAAACGGAAAGAGTGTGAGATCTAAGAACAACGATTTCCTGGCCATAATGATGTGAACCTGACCCTATTATTATCCGTGGGCCTGACTATAATAGGAGACACAGCGAAAAGACAGCTTCCTCTCCAGGTGTTTTGTGAAAAGGGGCTTTGATTTTGCAATTTGCGTAATATAAGTTACACAGGTGGTTACGTATTTCCAAGAAGAACATGTCTACAGTCCACCCGTTGTTAGTGCGAAATCTTGAACAGAAGGTCCTGGTCAGCCCTTATATGTAAGCCGCAATTATCTTACTTAAAATAAACTATTAGTGGTATAAAACGAGTCAGAGTTGTCAAGCAATAAATCCTCTGCACATTGAGATCACTTTTTTTTGAAAGTGGTGCTTTGTGGTTGAGTTGTGTTGTTATCGCGCAACCCCTGGTCTCGAAGTCTTGCGCTAATGAATAAACCAAAGGGAAATCATGCATTGTTCCAATGGAGACGGTCAATAACACCTGGCAAAAGAGGCCTAAGTACGGAAATGATGAACATCTGCATCGGGATACTTGCCTACAGCTAGGGAATACTTCCTTCTCTGGTCGTTTTGTGCTCTGTCAAGTGCACTTGTTCTCCGTACTCTTTGTTTCCCTGTTTTACATATGGTGATCTTTCGATGCGGTTTTTAGTGCCTAAGGTAAGGAGGTATTTCCTACCCACATGT